AAATCTACAAATGAAATTACCGCGTGTCCTCCGAGGGGTCCAGTTGTTACCAACCTCACCAAGTCTCGGTGCGACAAAAGACGATGTTCGGTGTTCAATGCTAGCCTTAATGTATACTTTTGTTAATTAGGAGTTCTGTTGTTGATGTCTGAAAAGGAAAGGAAGCAATGTAAACTTTAACCCGTAAGTTAGATTTGATAAAATCCTTATAATAAGTGTATCTTTAACGTACAAACCTTCAAATACGCCTTCGTTAGAAACCGCAGAATGCTACCTTGGTTTGAGTACACCGATCTACAAAATATAATAGATAAAATGAACAGTACGCTACGTTTAAAAACATTATAAACGAGCCAAAACAAAAAAGCAGCAGAGAAAGTACTGTGGAATCAAGATTTTTTCCCACATTCAACATAAACAAAACTTTGTTCAAATAATAAGGTAGCTTTAGGAATCGTGGTAAAGTTACAGTGTTCGACTGAGAGAAGGGAAACAGCATTTCAAGGGTTCGAGTTATCAGGAGGTTCGAAAAGTAGGGATTCCACTGTACACTCACATGTCGTGGCTCCGATATGGGTGGGGCAACGTGCAGCCACAATCCACTATCGTGGAATTCGTTGGCCTCTTCGAGAGAAATGCCCAAACAAACGCAGTGGTACCACTCAAAGCAGGTAAGGCACTGCACCATCTCATTGCGACTTGAATGTTGGGTGTTATATCCTCGCCAAAACACGCACAAGAAAGCATCTAATGCAACACACTTCCATGGCAGAAGGGGGCATATATGGTTGAAGGTGTTTCCTTGTCCTGTAAGTGGCAGCCAGATGATGTGAAAAGGCGCCTCTTCCCGGTCTGGCTGGAAGCAACAAGGAGGACTTTGTTTTGTGTGGTACCATACAGCCCCAGACAGTTCACAGTGCTGTTGTATTGGTTTCTTCAAAAAGCCGGCAGCAGAGGTTACCTGCAAGAGTTCTAAAAAAAAAACTGCGGATGTCAGTATTGTAATGCCAACTTGCCTGGAGAAACGAGCTGATAACTGGTTGTAATAAGATGATAAAGATGTGGAATTGATTCAAAAGAATGTGAGCCAGTCCTTAAAACGAACAAGTCTCAAGTTAGTTACCAATATCAGTAAAATTCTTTAGGGCATTAAAGACTTGGCTTTGGACACTTTTTGCAACAATTTCCTGAATGGATTTGTCTTTAATTTCCTGAACCTCGTTTGGTGAAAGGCTCACACTGGCTGCCCACTGCAAAGCATCGCCTCTATCAGTAAAATGCCACGCATTCTGTAAAAAGAAATATGACAGAAGCACAAAGTAACTCCTTTTAAAGTTATATTGCGAACGGAATATAATTTTTCAAAATGCAGTTTAGTTACTTCTAAGGAGAGGGTAATAAGTAACTACAGGAACGGTTAACACGACACTGAGATGACTACTATTCCTACAATTTTAGCCAGTATTGTATTGTAAATAATCATGCAATTCAGCCTTATTAGGCTGCCATGGGATTTTTAATAAAGATATCTATCCATCTACTACAGATATTAGTTTATTGGACAGTTGTCAAATATGATTGAAAACCATGTGCACAAAAAATCATTGTGTAATTATCAAAAGTGATCAAAGGATTTTGGGTTTTGCAAGCAGTCAATGAAACAAATGAAGTTGATGAAAAGAAATGAATTGACATGAATGGCAGTTAGTGTTTAGAGGATAAAGAAAAAAGTCACAACCTTATAGATTGCTTGCTAAGTAATCCAAGAATATCAAAGTAGCAAATTTCTCTAACAGCTGGATTAAAATATTTCTGTATAACAAGCAACCACATAAACAAGCACCTAAAGAAAGAACTAATAAATTAATTTTTAAAGATTAATTTAAGATTGATTTATTATGCCTCAGTCTCTGCTTTGAAAAAGAGATCCAGAGGTTGACCTCTGTTAAAGTTCACTTAAAACATGAAACAAGGATGTTAAAATTGTACACTAATAAGCTTAGCAAACATAACAAAAAATAACTGATTGTTCTTACTGCATCAACAATGTGGTTATAGTGAGCAAGACCATACATTGCTGCACCCAGTCTAAAAAATTCACCGTCACTTTCATGTCCAGACATGAGTATGGATAGTGAATTATAAAAGCAGTTTCCATCCCCACTTGAGTAGAATGGCTCCAGACCAAGCTCATAAATGGACTGGTCAACATAGCTGGAAAATCTCTAAAAGCAATAGAATTTGAAGTTAATAACAACCAATAAAATAAAATTTATAAATGAAAATAATGATAATAGTAACAATAACAATGATGATGATAATCATTCCAAGTTAATAACTTTTACTGAACTTTTTATCGCTCAGGAAGTCTGTGCTGATTCTTGCTGCTGATAAACTGACGTGAAGAGATCTTTGGTAAATGTTCCAGGCTGTGAGGAGATAAACTTAAGTTCACCTCCCAAGGCAATCTGACCATGCATCCTAAAATGTCCCTTGCAATTTGGGGCTTTATGATTGTATGGATTTCAGTCTAGGAAAGGAAAAAACACCTTGCATTAATAGGTAGATCACAAATTGGTAAACAAAATGAAATTAATATTAATAGTCAAAGGCTGCTAATTAACTCTCATGAATGTTTGCCCTCATGATGGATTCCTCATTAAATGCCCCAACCCAAATCATCAAGTTGAAAAAAAAACTTTTTGAACATCACACTAAAGAGCTGGAATTGGCCTGGCATTAGTGGACCCTTAAACAAACAATATCCACCTTTTGGAGTTAGTAGGACCAAACTGCTTGGACATAGCCCCCTTACCAAGTTTCTAGCTAAACAACTGGTATTAAAACTTAAGCTGGCAGCTGATGAAATGACATAGAGAATGTTCAGGAATGGTAAATTCAAAACAAAATACTTGCATCCTAGACAAGATTAAATTGTGAAATAAATAAATGAAATAGTATGTTTGTTTGCCACACATACATGCACAAAAAAGTATTGTACAAAAAGGAGTTCAATTAATAACAGGAAACTTACGACTTCATTCAGTTTTCCTAGAATACTCTGCACCTTTGATGTTTGGATCTGATTCAGTTCATTGCAGGTTTGCAGTACAGATTGCCACGTATTACCATAGTAAACTGATTCACTCCAAAATTTCCTCTTTACAATGTCCTCAAATACAAGAGAAGGTTGAACATGACCTTCAGGAGTTGCTAAGGGAGGATCAGAAATGGAAGTGGTGACAGCAGGTGTTGATCAAGGAGCAGGAGGGCAAATGGGGCTTGCAAAAACTTCAGGGGCAGATGAGGGAGGATCTGAAATAAAAGTAGAAGCTGGTGCTGATGATACAGGAATGGGAATCACAGGACTATGAGCAGAATCATCTACTGTGATGTCAACCTCTTGAGGGTGCTGTTGTTGATTCCAATTTCTGTATGAATGCATAATTGAAATTAAATCATCCAGATGTGGTCACTTGCTGCTTTTATTTACATCTGTGAACTCAACTTCTTCAGGCCACCAAACAGGTCAGCATGCTTCTTTCCCCCATCCAGGCTCAGATCTCCCTACATGAAAATACACCATGTAAATTCCACAAATCTACTATTCAATTTAGCACTTTAAAGAAACAAAATTGTGGGTTGTATGATTAGAGTAGACAAATTGCATAGCCTTTTAAGTACATCACCCCCAAAACTGTTTGCATTTGTAAAAAATGTTTATCCAGTTTGCTTTCTTAAATTTCTTTACCATCTTTTTTGACTTCCCTAACAACCATTTTCCTCAGATCTACCACTCTAAATTGCACAGGGTCTTCTGGTGGTATGTCATCATCAGCTGCCATTTCTTGAGCTTGAACTTGTTGCACTATAGGAAATAAACATTCAAACTGTATTGTACTGTAAATCAAAATCTGGAAGCAGAAAGGTGAGTACTTATAACAGATGCAAAACAAAATGATGTTAAAATGCACTCAGAATTTAATGAATTAAACTAGTTAAAATAAGTATTACTTATAGAGAAGTGAATGGGAAATCAGAAAAATGTTCCATATCTTCCAAGACTTAAAATATACTGTGGGCTATAAATAACATAAATCAGTGCTTTAGACTGTCAACGTATTAAACGTGTTGCAATCCAGAACTGGCCTTTGCTAAATGCATACCATTCTAGCAGTTAAAAGCAAAAAGAGAGAAGTAAAGCAAAAATAGAGGAAGAAAGCCAGGCAGACAGACAGACAGGAAGGAAGGAAGGTAGGGCTAGTTTAGAATAAAAAAAAAAAATCCTGAAGTACTGCACTGTTAGGGATGTAGACACAAACAGTTTCAACCCCGATATCATAAGCTTAAAAAACAATTTTTTATTTAGAGTCTTATCAAATGACATTGGGAAATTCAAATAAATAAATATAAAAACACAAATATAAAATCAAAAAAAGAAAAAACTGAAATACTTTTGTTTGCATAGACTTCGTGTACCGTCTATCCATCTGGTTGCGCTTGTTTGAGTCTGTCTCAAACGCCACCTGAAAGAAAATAGAAAATGAAAATCTCACATGCAACAGCTTACAAGCTGAACAATAAAATCATGCTCCCACACGTGAAACACAAAACGTACAAAAACAAAGGACCCTCTTTCTTCTTCTTGCACGACCAGCAGTAGCTGGGGGATCCTCCTCGTCACTCTTAGCTTCCTAAAAAAAATAAAGAATATCGAAAATAGATCGATGCGAGTTGAAAAAATTAAATACAAAAATACCACATGATTACGACTCTCTGGGAAATGCTGATATGCTCATTGTAACAAAAGAAAGAGCGATGGAAGAATGAATGTCAGCGCCGAGAAATATACTTGCTCCTTTTTACAAAATGTGATAAAATTAAGACAATACCGCGTTTCTTTCCGCCATAATGAATGGTCCCCTTTAAGAGGTTGTGTATGTATCATGAAGTGTACCGCAGCTGATGGTTATTTTCGTCCCAAAGCCCCTCGCGGTTTTCAAAATGGCGAATTATCATAAGACACTCGTTAAATCATATCTCTTGTGATTCGTCCTGGTTCAGCCCCGACACTGGCCATCGCTCTTCGGAATCATGGTTTTCAGGGTCTCACCTCTGCATGTTGACATTGTTATTGATTTGAACGTGAAAGCTGCCTCATCAAACGTTCTCACAGTTCTGCGTTTTACTCCCCTTAACTATACAACAGATGCACGTGAAGACATAGACTGGCTTTTATTTTGTATTGGTTAACTCCAAGGAACAAGCGGAACGAAAACATCGTCATGTTGACATTTTAGGGAAGGAGAAGGTGTTGACGTCGAGGAGCTGCCGGAGGAAGAGTCACAGTCAGCTTCTAGTGAGTGAAATGTTTTCATCTGGTACAAATTCAACATATAGCAACTGTGATTTTTTAATGTATATCCACGAGAATGATCAAGATTAACTTTATTTTTCGCAGTAGATCAGTATGTTCGTGTTGAACGTGATAATTTTACTCCATTTGAATGATAGTTTTGTTTGAATATGTAGTTGTTGACCCACTCCACATGTTTTTTTTTGGTGGGTGGGTCAAAATGGGAAACCAAGCAACTAATTTTTGCATTTTTGTAAAAGAAGAAGAGTATTTACCTATGAAAGATTCCAATGAAGACATTGTTAAATGGAGAGCAAAAAAATTAAAACCTTCCAATTTATCAGTAATAAACTCAGAGAAACATTTTATGGTCTATTGCCACTGGTGTCTGAATAATTGTTAGCAAAAATTAACACATTAATGCAGAAAAGTATCATATTTCAAAACATAACAACATGGGCTCTTTATTTGGTAATTGTCGATCTGTACTTTGCCCCATTTGTGTGCAATACATGATAAGATGCAGGCTGTCTAGAATTGACATGTGATAGGGTGAAGTCCTAGGCAGCTAAAAGCGAATTTGATCGGTAGATAATATCTTAGCATGCGAGAACTGCATGGAAAATTGACTAACAGTAGCATTTAGTTCCAAGTGAAATTTTTTCAGTGGAGTGAGGTTATGTTGTAAAATTTAGGTTGTTTACTGGAAAATGGCACACTATCTGAGAAAGTCTAGTCCATAGCAACAATTTAACATGTAATTGTACCAGGAAAGTACCTTTTAAACACAAGATGACTTACAGAAGCATGGAGAACTTTTAAAAGCAAAAAAAAGCAGATAGTCCACATCACAGTTGACGCAGAAAGTAAATATAACTTTGTGATCTTTTCGGCTTTTGTAAAAGGAGCAAACAAAAGGCAAAAACTAGATTATTGATCAACTATGCTTTATGCAAATGCTTTGCACAATTTTTACTGTAGTCAGCTAAACACTAGCCCTTCCAAAACAAAGGTTCTAGTGATAATTTCATAAAAGGCCTTAAGCTGATGGCATGTGTGTTGTAAGTGAAGGAGTGTTACACAAAAAATTGGTGCAAGCATACCTCATTGCTGTGATCTGATTAGTGTGAGATACATACCCTACTGCTGAAGTCAGATTAATTTGAGATACATACCCTAATGCACCCATCCAAGATAAATACCTTTTGATATGCCAACGTGGGGGCATAGGGTGTGTTCCTTTGGGAGATCCGGATTTGGATTTGTGATTGAAGATCACACAGATCACAGTACATGAAAGGAATGGAGTTTTAGTCGAGCTCTCAAAGAATTCCAAAAAGTGTGCTATTTTAAGGGTGCATTCCTTTGAGAGGATCCAGATTTAGATTTGTGATCAAAGATCACACAGATCATAGTGCATAAAAGGAATAGAGTTTTAGATGAGCTCTCAGAGAATTCCAAAAAGTGTAAGTGTGTTAAGACTTTTGTATGCATCTGGGTTACTGAGCTCTTCCCTGAATGGCTTGTCTTACTGCAAGGGCTTTTAGCATGCAACTATTCATTAGAAGCACATTTTTTCATGGTAAACTCAAACGATGGAATTAAAACAGAAGCAAGTATTGATTACGATATGGGTACTTGGGAATGAATGCCTGTGATCAGTGGCTGATCAATTTAACATTACAAAATTGATTTTATTTCGTGTTTCTCACAGAATTTGTGGAGTGATTGCCAACAATCTTTCCAGTCAATATATGAAGTACCTACTTGTTTGAAATTAAGCACCGCTGGGCAAAATGATTAATTTCAGATCCTTTATCCAAAGGAACGCATTGGATCAATGATCCAATGATCCGTCTTTAGATCATGAAGATCAGTGATGCAATGAATCCTTGTCCAGAGTGGATTTGATAGATCACTGATCTGAAAATGGATTTGCTCAAAAGGATAACCACAGATCAGAAATCCTGATCTGGATTCTCCCAAAGGAACGCACCCATACATTTTATATTTTGGCTACTAACTCAAAAATCATTAAAAAATTAATCTTTACTCTTTACAATTTTTTTCAGAAAATTATGATCTGTCTGAGTCAGTGCATCTGCTTTATTTATCAGTCTTCAGGGGAACAAGCCCCTAAAACTCAGTGCTACTGTTCTGGCTCAGTAAAACACATGCACCCATCATATCTGTTGACATGGTTCAAAGAAAAGGTCAAGAAAACTTGTGAATTGTGCCATAAAAGTGATATCAAGAAAAAGGGCAAACCATATATGCTGAGGTAATTGTTATTTCTAAGCCCTTTTCTATTGAGTTGTATTGGTACAGTTGATCTTCATTTTACCAAGGTCAACATTTTTGTTTTCATTGTCACCTTTGTAACCTTTGCCATACCCCTCCCCCCTTGGTCCTCTATTCCCCCCTCCCCCCTCTCTTTGAACTTTTGTCCCTCTCTTCTCCCATGTTTCTGTTGGGAAATTGAACAAAACAAAGGTGTTTGATAGATTAAGGATCTTTCTTTACTGAATGAAGTAGAGGAAGCAAGACAGTGGGCTACAAAGAAAATTGAATGTTTTTAGAACCAAAGTTAAAACCATATCCTTGTACTATTTCCAGATTTTCACATTTCCAGACTACCAAGTTAAGATACATGCAACTAAGCTAAAGAATTATTGGCATATTTCCAGAATTCCACATTTCCAGACTACTGAGATAAATGTAAGTTAAAGACTAATTTGTATATTTCTAGATGTACCAAGTTAATATGCTTGTGAGTAAGCTAACTGACATATCACATATTTTTACACATTTTTCTCTAAGGTGATGAATTTGATGTGCAGCACATTCCATTGTGATGACGTGTTCTGTGCTCTTCTACCCCAAGTTAAAGCGCAATTTGTTTATATTGAGACAAAGAACTCCTAACAATAATTGCAGATGTGCACATCTTAACCCTTTACTTCTTGGAAGTGATTAACATGTAGCTTCTCCTTGTTGTATTCATAAGGTAATGAGAATACCTTCAAGTTTTTATCTTGATCTAACTTCAAATTCTCAAAACTAATTTACAATGAAATGTATAGCAGCTGAAGGGGAGAAGTAGCAATCAGTCCTTGGGAGTTAATGGGTTATAAGCCTCAGAGAACAGAAAGCATTATGGTTATAGTTGTTACGAATACTTAAGATTAAAATTGTTAGTAGGTGACAGATTCACATGTTCATGTAAATAGGGTATTGAATATTTGTTAACTTGTGAAAGAAACTTGATTAAAAATAGGGTCAAGCAATTTTTCATTGTGTGTTAACCCTTTAAGCCTTTCACTCCCATGAGTGACCAAGACAGAATTTCTCCTTACAATATCAATACAATATCAAGCAGACAAGTGATGGGATTGAAGAAAATATCAGCTAGGGGAGGGGATTATTAGTTGATCCAATACCAAATTCTCAAAACTAAACATGCATATTGTGAAAAAACTAAACATGATTGTGTATGATGAAAATTTGGACCAGAATTTTCAATATCTGGTTGGGCATTTATTTGAGGTAATATCTATTTTCATTTAATGTTTTAAAGATGTTTTATTGCTGGTTTAAGACAGGGTGTGGAATTTTGGTCTAGGTTTAAAATAGGGTTGGAATAATTTTGTATTTCAACCTAAGGCAGGGCAACAGTTGATTTTAAGAAGGGTGCTATCTCTGCTAAAGAAAAGGTACTACTGAAAAAAGCCTCTATTTGAGCTGATCATGTTTCTCAGATAAATTATTTATACTTTTGTTTGATATTGAGAAGGCTTTACCAACCCCCCCTTCCCCTGCCCCACCCCCATTGTCTTCCTTTGTCCAATTTTTGTTTTGTTTCAAAACTTTTTGTAAAGCTCTTTACTCTGTCTGATATGTCTAACCATAGGGGCTGAATTGATAGCAACACAAAGAATAAATCTGCTTACATGATTTATTCAACAATCATCTGATAAACTTAGGAGTTCTGCTCTTATCTACAAATACTAGTCAGTGAAATCTCAACTGTCAAAGTTTTTCATTTTATCATGGTAATAGTAACAGGCAAAAAATATGTGCAAAAACACTCCAATATTTAAAGCTACTGCATACACCTTAAAAAAATTGTGTAACGTAATATATGTCTCACACCACTAACCTACAATAAAGTCTTTTGTCTTTGAAAAGTAATGGGTTTCCTTATTTACAATTTGTGTACAGTATGAAACTACTCGAACCGGATTCTTTTGATCGAAAAGAAAAACAAACAAAAAAAGAAAAACAAACTAAAAAAAAAAAGAAAACTTTTATCCTTGCAAGCGATCTGTATCGTATTTACTCATCTGATCCGCCTATAATCTCCAAAAAAACTTCAGTAAACTAAACAAAACTATTTCATGTGACAGACATAAGTGATCAAATCATACAGAAGCATGCAGTAAATTTAGGCTCGAAATAAACCAATCATAAAATGATAAAGTTTCCTGAGAGGTCCGAGGTTTGTTTGTTTTCTATGCAGTAAGTTTTGTGTTTTAACTTCAATGTTATTGGTTCGTTTACAAAAAAAGACACTTTGACATCCTTTGTTCTCAATAAACATGTTCATTGGTTCATTTTTCTTCATTTCGATCCGGTTCAAATAATCTCTCTGCTCTGAGCGCTTCACAAACTTTGTTTTCTTTCGTTCATTCACGATTTTAGTGGTTGTGTTGTAATTGTCACTGAGCTGGTTACCTCACATTTTGAATTGTAAGTGATTATTTATATTTTGTTCCAGATTTCACAATTATTTGTGAACTGGCGATGTTAGATAAAAAGGCGACAGTTAGACTGACTATTGCTAAGTAAATTCTCTGCGTGTTGTTTACCTGCTTCTGTGATGTTATTCTATGAGGATTAACGTGTGTAGCTGACAGTTGTTGCTGTTGATGGCTTCAGCCAAGTGCTGTGCTCCAATGTCTGAGATGTTATTTTCTGTGAGGTCTAACGTGCGTAGCTGACAGTTGTTGTTGTTGATGGCTTCAGCTAACGTGCGTAGCTGACAGTTGTTGTCTTTCATGGCTTCAGCCAAGTGCTGTGCTGAGATGTTATTTAATGAGAGATCTAACGTGCGTAGCTGACAGTTGTTGTTGTTGATGGCTTCAGCCAAGTGCTGTGCTCCAATGTCTGAGATGTTATTTTCTGTGAGGATTAACGTGCGTAGCTGACAGTTGTTGTTGTTGATGGCTTCAGCCAAGTGCTGTGCTCCAATGTCTGAGATGTTATTTTCTGAGAGGATTAACGTGCGTAGCTGACAGTTGTTGTTGTTGATGGCTTCAGCCAAGTGCTGTGCTCCAATGTCTGAGATGTTATTTTGTGAGAGGTTTAACGTGCGTAGCTGACAGTTGTTGTTGTTGATGGCTTCAGCCAAGTGCTGTGCTCCAATGTCTGAGATGTTATTTTTCCAGAGGATTAACGTGCGTAGCTGACAGTTGTTGTTGTTGATGGCTTCAGCTAAATACTTTGCTGCTTCGTCTGTCAATTGATTTCCTCCGAGGTTTAACCAGCTCAGTTGAGATTTACTACATTTTAACAACTTACAAATTTCAAAACAACCTAATGGACCAAAGTTATTGTCGGCCAAATCTAAATGTGAAATTTGTTGAACATTCTTAATTACAGTAACTACTGAAGCACAATCAACAGGTGTGAGTTGACAATCATTAAAATTTACAAAATTAAAGTTAATTTGTTGTAGTTTTCTCTGAACTATTTCCTCCATCTCACTACTTTCGTTAATGCATTTAAATAATGTCACTGCTAAATGTTTTTTGTCTTCAGTCGGCCAACAAGTTACTTTCCTTGGCTCCATATCCTCTGTCCACTCTTCGTTGTACAACACGCTTTCTTTCTCTTCAGTTTCCACAGGAAGAAGGTCTGTGATGATTTCGCTCGGTAGGTTTTCTTTCTCGTTCATTAGTCCTGCTAGAAACTGAAAAACCAGCTGCCATTTGCCGTCCGCGATGTTCGTAGAAACAAAGTTCCTCAGTTCTGTTTCATTCATGTTTGCTAGGTGCCTCGCAGCGAAAAACTCTTGCATTGTTAAATGAATGAAACAGAATTGTTCCTCGCGTTCAAACGTGTCAGGCCGACGGTCGGGTAAGCGGTGAAAAAGAGCGTTGTCTTCCATTCCGCGTACTTCGTGTCCTTCAAAGACCAGCCTTCCTTCTTTAATTCCTTGAAATGCCATTTTTTCAAGTTTCGAGAATTTCTTTTCCACTTCAGGGGGTAACTTGTCTGATTCCAAGAATTTACTAGCGAAATTCTTGCCGCGGAATTCTTCGTTGTGTCTGAAGTAAAAAATTTTCACTGCTTTCTTGTAAATAACTGTTAGATTCGTTGGTAGGCTAAGACTCTTGGAACCATAGAACTTCACCATTTGAAAGAGAGTTGAGCAAATGATGAAGCAACTCGCAGGAATGTAGCATAGAGAGAGAATGTTCCTGTTGCCGCCGATGTGTCGCCATAGTGTTTCTCCCGCATCCTTGTCCTCTTCAGCACTGAATTTGGTTACGTATTCTTTGACTTGTTCGGACGAGAAGCCGAGGACCTCGAAGATTTTATCGAAAGAAACACATTCGATGCATGACAAAGCCGTGGGTCTTGTGGTTGTTAAAACGGCAGCCCCGTTGAGAAGTTTCCCAGTCGCAAGCTTCTCGTACAAGGCGTACAGGGGCATCTTCTCGTCTGCGCGGTTTCTGAATTTAGGCTCGAAATTTTCCTCGCCGATTTTTGAATTATGTTTAAATTCATCGATTCCATCGAAAATAATGAGAACTCTTTGGGGGTTGTCAAGGATGTAATTCCAGACTTCATCATCCATGTGATTTGAGGGGGAATGTTCTGACAATGTGAGCAGTTCCCTGAGGCTAAGGTCGGGTGCCGCGTTGAATGCTCTGAATTTGATAAAGAAAGTAGCGTCGAAATGAATTTTGGCATCAGGTGAGTCATGGAATACTTTGTTAAATGCCCAGTCTCTGAGAAGTTTGGTACAGCAAAGTGTCTTTCCGATTCCAGGACGACCAACAATCAAAACGTTTTTGTTTTCGTGGTTAAGAATGTCCTCCGGCCCTCTAGGTGTTGTGTTTTTAGTCTCACTTGATCTGGCGTAGACTTTCAGTTTCTCTTGTCTGTCTCCAGTAAAGTCATAATTAGCTATGTCTGGAACAACGACAAGTTTAGTGTAAATCTGATCCAGAGTCAAATGTTTAGCTGGGTGTCCTTCGCCGGGAGTACTTGGAAAAGGCGACCGGAGTTGGGGAGGTCGATTTGTCTCATCTTTAATGACTCTCTTTGTGTTCTCGATGAATTCCTGAAGCGGTGGTTTTTGGAGTTTTTGAGGCTTGCTTGGCAGATGTGGGATGTTCGTTTCATTTTCTTTACTTTCCTCTTCCTGGTGTTGTTCTTGTGGGGCGTTCGTGTCTTGCTCTGTTCTTTCTTCTTGAGGCTTGCTTGGCAGATGTGGGATGTTCGTTTCATGTTCTTTACTTTCCTCTTCCTGGTGTTGTTCTTGTGGGACGTTCGTTTCTTGCTCTGTTCTTTCTTCTTGCTGCGGAGGTTCAGGTCTCAACACAATCGATGTGGTAGCATTTTGCGAGCTGGCATGGGAGGGATTCAGGTGAGCCTCTAGAAACTTGGAATTTTTCATGAAACTATCCTCTTTCCACGCTCGTAGCAAAATATAGACGGTTTCTAACAGAATGCCAAAGAGAAAAATTCCGTTCACGACAAGAACAGCGCGCATCCAGGAGTTTTTCTTAGTTGCTCGTTGATTATGACACTCGTGCCAGACGCCAGTAGAATTCCTTGGCTGACTCCCTCCAGAGGTTAGATAACAAGGGAAGTTGGGGGGGAAGTCCAGAGGATAGAGAAACTGTTTTTGTAGAACCATGAAGAGAACTCCTAAAACAATCCTTGCGAAAAGTTGACAGCAGTAAGCGATAAACAGCTTTTTACTAGAAAGTGCGTTTCTTTGGTCGCGCAACTGCCCCTCGAGATCACCGTTACGAGCGCTTGGCGACAGTTGATCGACTGTAGGGCTCGCTATTTGGGAGTAAATAGCACAGACAGTTCCGATGAGGAAGAAATTCATGATCACGAAGGCATAGATAGGAACATCGTGTTTGTTATACTGCTTCTCGTATAACTCGAAACATCTTCCACGGACAAGGTCGATGTTTTCACTCTTCGCCCCGCCACAGCGGAAATCATACCTGGATTCGCTGTTTTCTGCGTCTGCAAAAATGCCAAGGAAGATTACACCGATCAGGATCCAAATAACAACTGCGGCATGGCTAACTGTGTTAAACGTTTTTGGTTTAAGTAATTCCTTGAGATTATCCATTGTTAGCGTTTGTATTCTCACTGTTTTCGATCAGATGAAAATCGCATTATGTCGTGAGTTGAAATAATGAAAGTATGGTGACTTCCGGTCAGTCATTGCTACAGATTTCACAGTTTCTTTATGGGAAGAGCTACAATTTTAATTCTTGGCAAAGTTACAGCTGTCAACTAGCCAATGGTTTGTTTTCACCTGCCATCTTTTCTCGACTACTCAGGAAGCTGATATGGGAAACGGAGAGAGGAAACTCCCTGAACATACCTCCACTTAAGTGCAGAAATGCACGCGGTGACCGAAATGGCAGATTTAACGAAACTTTGTCAAACCGAGTGGTTGTTCATGGATTTGACGATTTTGACGAATTGTAGTCAAATTCGTCAGAGCGAAATCACCTCGGCGGATTTAACGATTTTGACGAATTTTCGCCGTTTTTGTTACTGCACGCATTTCTAGACTTTTTTCGGAAACTGAAATGGACACGTGCTAAAAGTGTCATTAATCCGAAATTATTTTGATAGAGGCTTTAAAAAGACAATCACAAGTATGGCGAAGGCTTTTGCTTTCTGAGGCAAATTGCACGCTTAGTAGTGTAACCAGAAGAGATGTGACTCGTCGCTGCACAATCTCCTTCACCTTCCCCCTCTACCTAAGCCAAAGTAATTTTCTAACTAATTACGAGCGCCTCTAAACACGCCTTGGTTGTTCGTTCGACTTTCATTTTTCTCACCAGTTTTCAAGATCGTGTAATTTTTCGATTGACTTGTGCGACTGCCAACTGTGATACAAAAGTGAAGACATAGGAGACATACCCGTATGAAAATGAAACCACGGATCATTTCCAGCGTCAAAGGTTCTCTATTGTACTGCTTTTTAGAGATTTACATTGATGCAGAGTACCCCGTCATTTCTTTGTTTGTTTGTTTTTTTTTTTTTGGTTTCATTTTTTTTGCGAAAGTTAAGGGATAAGAATAAGCACTTAGAGTGAAGAAACGATGCAGTTGCAGAATAGTAGGTTGTGAAAAAATTCAGGCTTCGACGGGATTCGGACCCGCTCCTCCCAGATACTAGTTGAGCACCGTCGGACCATCTAACCTGAGGACCTACTTAAATTTGGCCGTTCCCTCTTCCTTCATGCGGCTACGCAGCTCAGTTATAGTCTCGGAAGGCACGGGCTTGAAACCCCTCCGATTTTGAACCTTCTCAGGATTTCAGGCTTCTTTTTGGCAATCACTTCAACTGCAACTTATCTGAGAAGATCGGTTCTTCTACCTTACTCAGTGGTACTTTATGTGGCGAGAACTTTTATGATTTTGGTGAGACGGTATTTTGCGAGGTTATATTTTTGCGATCTCAAAACAAGGCCGGCAAATACAAAAGAAGGGAATTAAAATTCGCGATTCAAGCGTTTCAAATTCATTTTAGTTTCCAAAATGTCGTAACTTTTGACGACTGGACGAAAGATATTCGAAGGAGTTTGACCAATCTAGCCGATTCAGATGAAGATGATAGCGAGAATCTCTACTCCATATGCGAAAACCTTTGCAAATTAAAGACAACACTTCACAACAGAAGGTACAAAATAAACTGAATTACCAGTAAGACCAGTTAATAAAATTTGTGTATTTGCCGATACACATCTTGTATATGTTGTTTTTTTTCACATTTCAGATCATTTTTTCTGTTATTTGAATGTTCTATAGGGAATTAAATTTCGCGAGAATTTTCATCCGCTGGACAATGATTTCACCTTTTTTCTACAGTTGCGAAAAAGGCGAATTTAAACACCAATAATGTGTACCACCCACAAGCCAAAATATCGTAGATCTCATTTATTGAAGTTAACAGTATCGCTATACACGTCGGTCTTACAAATCGGAATATTAACGCGCATCGAGTAATTCTTTTAATAAAAACAGCATTTTCCTTAAATTTTCTTTTAGTTTAAGGTGGCTGAAAACAGTTTTCCGAAACACCTACTGACTGTATTGGAAGCGCTCAAAAACCAACACTCCCTCTTCGGTCTCCTCGCTGAGGTTGAACCAATTTCACACTTGTTGACTAAAGGATTGAAATAGTGTGCGTGACTTGGCAATCGCTATTATTATGCTAATGTTATTATACAATTTTTAGGGACTGTATCGGAAATTCCTCGATCGGTATCCTCGCAACTTCAAGATTTTCTTTTTCGCGATAACGCGCCACTGTTGGGAAAATTTTAACGACTTCAATCTAACCGTTTCAACGTTATGATGCTGCTAAGTTTACATTTGACTGATTTGAATCAACGTAAAGAAATCGAAAGATTACGTTTTGTTTTTCGTTGGACAAATTTTCAACATGTTCTCCTGTTTGTTGCCAATTGGCGACTTGTCGAAATTTCAGTCGCCAAATGTTCTCTCGCAATGGCGACCAAAATGGTTGGGGCTTGGGGAGCTGCGCTAGAGCCTGAAAGATGCTATATTATAAAATGATATGGACAGTTGGCAATCCTCGTAGTTTTATTTAGGTTTGTTTCTGGCAAGAATGTGAAAGGTGGAGTATGTTTTCAGGGAGATTTGTTTTCAAATTAAAATAATTGAAATAAAAGTATTAGATCCCAAGTTTTGTCTGCATTCATAATTAATAGAGCTAAGCATTTGGTGTCATAAACAAACCACATTACCACAGTTTGAAATGGAAAACAAAACAAAACAGTTTTGGAAGTGCTTTTTTTCTACTTGGCACCTTGTTTTTCTCTGAAGTCTCTAAAATGCTTTATTTGCGTCAACTACAACTTCGAAAGTTTTTATCTTTGCTTCCTTTGAGTTTGATTTTGGCTTTTTCGAAAGAGGAGAATAAATGAAACCTGAAGCGGACCTTTTGATTTGCTAATCAGACTAAGAGACAAATTGACAGTGGTCGTAATTAAAATATTTGGGAGGCATTTTTAAAAGTTGACATGCACACCCTTAAACCTGTTAAACCGCTGAGGAAGGGGGGCATCGGGGTCTATTAGCAGCCGCAATCATCCAAAACCACACAACCGCAAAAAAATTGGATCAAAACCGAAAACCGCATGCAAAACAGTCTTAAAAATTTCAACATCCTAGTGATCAAAACCCTGATCGATCTGATGCAGTGGTGACAAGTGGAGCATACAGAGCTTTTTGGGGCTATTCGAGATCAGTGGAGACGCATAATTGCCGCTCAGATCGCAGAGAAACGGGACCCAAATAGGAAAAACCGAAGTTTTCTGGCACAAAGATCGAAAAGCCAATCTTAAAAATAGCCAAAACCGCAAAACCGAAAATCCCAATACCCCACCTGAAAGTGACTAGGATCTAATTTCTCCTCACAATATCACACCTGAATCAAACATTGAGGTCACAAGAATACAGGGAATTATCACCAAATAAATCAGCTCTTGTTTGTTAAACAAATTCTCCTTACCAGCCCCTCAGGAAATGTATGGCAAAAAGTTTGGAGAATATGTATACTGATGTTAGGGTGTAAAAAGGTAAACATAAATGACAGGATATATCAAACCTCAACATTTCACCATTCAAAATGACAAAAATTAGCTGATGGGACTTCAAACAAAAAGGCAGAGACCACTCTGTTTTTATTTTTTTAAATCAATATCAATCTAATGGAGGATACCACTTAGTCTGGTCAAAATCAACTAAATAATGATTCAATACTAGCTAGTCTGTACAATTTTTCATAACTGAGCATTGTAATATTAATATAATCATGTTCAACTTTGACTTTTTGACCATAGTATTCATACAGTCAACTCTTCATTAAACATTGATGTCCTTCCTTCCATTCAGTTGTCATAGGGGAAATTTTATTTACAAATTTCATTATTTTTTTTTAACAATGATTTACTGATATGTTTTCTTTCCTTAAGTTATTCAGTGCAAGATTCTATTCTCTGTTCTAAACGATGCTGTTATTATCATGGGGATAATTTTAAATTCCTAATGAATAAAAAATATGTTAATTGTACAGTTCAGTTTTCTTACATTACATGACAGTTAGTAATATTGTCAGTGTGAACATTAATTCCTGATTGGTGCAAATTACTACAAAACTAAACATAAATTGGAAATAATGTTTTACTCCTTTTGTGTTTGTGGTAAGATTAAATCTAGAGTGAATATTCAAATTGGTTTCTTCGATGAAATGAGAATTTGTTTGCTTATTTTTGAGGAATGAAACATTTTGATGTGAAGTGACCTCAAATATTTGTTTTCAATTTAAGGTGGAACAAATTGATTTTGTTATCACAGTTGTGTCTGTCTACTTGGTCCACTTGAATCAAAATTGCGTTTAAGCCTGTCAGGGTCTCTGGATGCCATATTAGAAAAATCTCTGAACACATCATTGAATGTAACATCACCTGAAACAAAAAAAATGACAGCAGTTAGTCCTTTAATCCATAAGAGTGACAAGGTTCTAATTTCTCTTTACAATCTATCCCTTATATCAAATGTTCAAGTCACGAGAATGAAGGAAATGATCAGCAACTAACAAAGTTCTTCATGGTTTTACAAATTCTCCTTGTTAGACCCTTGGAAATGTATAGAGAACAGTATGGAGAATATGCATAATGATGTTGGGGTGTAAAGGGTTCACCTTTACACCCTTTGGAGTGATTGATGAGTAATTTCCCTCTGCAACTACTTATAATCATGGATAAGTAGAGTGCATTTGATTTATGATATCATAATATTTTTCATCATACTGCTTGCCCAGAAATATCCAGGGATAGTGGACTTTCATTGTAGACAAACATGATGAACAATACAGTGGTTAGATTACATTGCTTACCACTCCTTAAATTCACTGATAATTAAAACAACAACAACAACAACAACAACAACAAACAAAACAAATCAGAAAAAAATAGATGGAGCACTCTTAAAAAGATCTTACCCTGGGCAATCTCATTATCTTCTCTCATTTCTTCATTCAGTCTTGCCAGTCTCAACCTATAAACAATTTCATTTTTCACCGTCTAGTAAATGTTGACAAGTTAGAAATGGACCAAAAGCAGCTATATGTTTACCGTAATAGATACCAAAATAACCTGACATCCAAAAACAAGGTGTAGATATAAAATTTACAATTCCTAACAATGATTCTTTCACAAAAGAAGACAATGACTAAAGACTGCTGTGTGTGAATTCCAATTCCAATTTTTTGGGATTCTTTCATTCACCTCTTGAAGGATAAATAAAAAAACCAATTCCTAGGAACAGAATCATAATCAGGCAATATCCACTGTTATATTGCATTTGTATACTTACAGAGTAACAATATCTGCATTTGTTTGTTTTAGTGCAATTGTAAGAGGGTCCTGAAATTAACAAAAGAAATTGATCAAGAAACTTTCATGAGCACTGTTTTTACCGCCACTTGTGACCTTTCATGCAACATCTACTGCTTCCTCTGTTTTCCAGGGGAACACAGATTAATTTGGAAGGAAAGACTGGCAGTTCATGGGAAGTTGTCTCCAAGGGCTTTTTTCATGCATCACCACATTATGTTCACACTCACCTCTCCATTCTCATCAACATCATGCTGGTTACCTCCTCGCTTCAGGAACAAGAGGATAGGACTGAAAATAAAGGAGCAGTATTAATATAAGTGATGACAGATGATGCCACAGCTGGGTGAACTGTTTTAAGCCCTGGCCACACCACTGTATTGTGTTCTGGAGATAGACACTATGCTAAGGAAAGAACTGGTTGCTAAGAGCTACAGGAACTAGGTTTAAGTACACATAGTTATGGAACTTTTACTGGAACATGTGGTTGTAAGTCTTAAACTTACTAATATTCATACATTGATAATAACAACTTGAAGCAAGAAAGAAAAAGAAATAAAATGCTTTGCCTTACAGAAACAAGCAAGGTTCTTAATAGACTCACAAAGACTGCAGGAAATAGTGAAGGTCAGAACAAAAATTGTTCTAACAAAATAGTCACAGGCCACAAAGGATTGTGTTTTCCAATCTTCTAGGTGAGAGAAGCCTACAGGAACTAGGTTTAAGTACACACAGTTATGGAACTTTTACTGAAACATGTGGTTGTAAGTCTTAACCTTACCAATATTCATATACTGATAATAACAACTTGAAGCAAGAAAGAAAAAGAAGTAAAATGCTTTGCCTTACAGACACAAACAAGGTTCTCAATACACTCACAATGACTGCAGAAAACAGTGATGGTAAGAGAGAAAATGGTTTTAATAGAATCTTATTTTTGATCAACTCACCCTGTCTGCCCAAGAAGTGCTGCATGATGAAGTGCACCTCTTCCCCTCTTGTCTTTCTGGTTTATTTTAGCTCCATTTTGTAAAAGGAACTCACAAGCTGGTAATGATCCCTTGAGGAAGAAAAATAATAATTTCATTACATGATGACCCTTCCATGAAGGAATTGCAAGTACTTAGCATAGCAGAACACCGTCAACAGAAAGAGTCAAACCTACCCCTAAGACAGACTGGTGAAGTGCTGTTTTTCGTTCATCTTCCTCATTTACCCAGTTCACTTTGGCACCTGAAAATTTTCCATAAACACTTTCATGACTTGTACATTTTTGAGGAAAGTGGAAAGTTACACACAGTTTGTGTGATTACTGTAAGTATCACTTTCCAGAAATGTCTGTGCAGCCATTAAATAAACAATAAGTGCAGCATGTTCTTGTCTACCTTCTGCAAGTGATGCAGCCATAAGAGGAAGACTCTTCCATTCTGCTGCTTTGAAAAGTAACTGCAACAAAAACCCACAATTAAAACAAGCCACAAGCAATGTCATGTACCATTAAACTGTTGACCCCTGAGAGTGACCAGCATCTACTTTTTTCTTACAGTATCACCCATGAATCACACATTAAGATCACAAGAATAAAGGACATGATCACCAACTAAAGAGGCACTGAATTGTTAAACAAATTCTCCTTGTCATCATGTCACTAAATGTATAGAGAACAGTATGGAGAATATGCATGCTGATGTTTGAGTGTAAAGGGTCAATAATCACCACTAAGTATCAACTTAATAACTCTCAGGACATTACAAAACAGCATATGATATAACAAATAAATAAATAAATAGATAGTGCAGACCTCTTTATTTGGTAATTAAAGGTGCATACCCTACTGGGATGAACTCTTTTCAACACAGCAATCGCTTTCTCCTTGTCCTCCTTCAGTCTTTTCTCCAGGTCACCATCCCCATTATTCTGCACTCTTTCACAAATGGTTGCCTCGTGAGTCAGACCATCTTCACTTATGGTTGAATCAAATGAAACTCCCCTATCTCTACCCTTGTCAGAAGACATAGCTGCTCCGATGGAGGCTGCCCGTCTCCTCTCACTGTCTTGACATGATGTTGATGGAGCACTAGTTCCCGGTCTGTCCTCATCATGTGAGTCACTGCTAGCAGTCTCATCACTGAGAAAACTTGAAGCAACATGTTCTAACTTTTCAGAGTCTTCACTTGCTACATCTGCAGAGAGTATTTCAGCAGGGGCACTCTTTCGGTTGTCCATCTTTGACTTTGACTTCACGGCAAGTTTCCGTTTGAAAAGTTTACTTTTTTTGGAGTCTGTTCTCTCAACGGCCAAATTTGTGCCCCTTTCCTCGTGGTGAACTTTCATTCTTGCAAGATTTCTAATGATCCCTTTGTCCAAAGTTTGACAGTTTTTTAGAAAGGTTTCCAGGGAAACAAACTTATGTTGTACATATTTTAACTTGATCCAAGTCTCTCTTTCACCCCTTTGACAAAAATCATTTGATAATTATTTTCAAAAAATGTTAACTACAAAAATTTAGGAATTCATAATTTATTTAAAACAACAAACAGTACCTGCTACTTTGAGGAGTTGGTTTCTTTGTATGGGAGTTGACTTTTGCTTCAAGAATTCCATTGACCAATTCATTTCCCAATTCTGTCATTAACTAAAAACAAAACCTTGAGTTACTATAACATTCATTTTGTTCTATTTTACCAAGTCCTTTTCTTTAAAATTAAAAATATTCTGTCACCAAGTTAGAGATTATGCCTTGATCACTTTGAGACACAAGCTCAATTAACATTATGTCAGCACATTGTCCAGTAAAACAGTTGTAAATCCAAAGCATTGTGCTTACAAATAACAAAAGTATGCATCCTATATTACCTTGACTTGCTCTGGTTCCCATGCATCAAGGGTCAATGAGCGAACCTTGGAGACGTGGACACCCAAACTCCTATTAAAACAAGCATTACCGGTGGGTCATTTCTTAAACTACATGATTGTAACTTTTTGATCTCTCATAATATTATTATATATCAAATTTAAATACTTACAAAATAGGTAATTATGCACTGGACAGTTTGTGACTCAGTCAAACACACTGCCCTCAACTGATGATATTTGGACCCAGAGGCATGAATTTACTGAATGTTTGTTTGGTTGTTTTACCTGCTAATTGGACTTAAGAAAAACTACACAGCAGCAAAGCTGAGCCTTTTGTCTGCACCACTGATCTTAAGGATCATGGCATAAACCAGATTATTGACAACACATGCACTCTACAATGCATATTGAGATCCTTCTAATATTACAGATCTGATGTAACCATGACTAGGAGCATGTCATTATGGTAAAAGCAAGGGCTATTCATAAAAAAAGAACTTTTTTTGTAACAGTACCTGTGAATACCTGAGCATTCTATACACAGTACAATTCCCATGTTAGTACTTGCCCAGGTCGGATCTAAAGGATAAAAAATAATTTGCATTAGAGTTACTTACTACTGGTAACTACAAAATATAAACCATTTAAATTAAAAAAAAAAAAAAGGAAAAAGAAAAAGAAAAAGAAAGGCAAAAGCAAACATTCTAACCCATGAAAGGAGGATAATAAAAAAACCCACATTTTCATTGCAAAGGCCAAATGGTATTAAAAAGTGAACTTTCTTTACACGATCCTATGACCTCAAAGCTACCCTCTCCCACAGATTGTTGTACTATGCTCACCAGTGCTGCTGCAGTCTGCACACTTGTCATTACCAGAGACAGCTCTAATAACATCAAGATTACTTCTGTCATTGAAAAGTAATAAAAACTGTTAAAACACCAAATGAATGTAATTATTAATATTAACTTTTAGTGAACCAGGTCCAAAATGGAGTGTCATCTGTATGATCCAAGAGAGTACTGTCTATGAAATAACAGGAAGGAATGGCACAGTGATGGGAGTGGGGATGACACAGTGATGAGAGCAGGGACCTGGGCCACAGTGATGAGAGCGGGGATGGCACAGTGATGGAAGCATAGACCCTTGCATTATTGATGAGAGCAGGGATGGCAAAGTAATAGGAGCAGGGACGGAACAATGATGAGAGCAGGGATGGCACAGTGATGGGAGAAGGGATGGCACAGTGATGAGTGCAGGGATGGCACAGTGATGAGAGCAGGGACCATGGCAAATCCATGCAACCCAGCCATGAGCCCCCACGCAGAAAAGGGAAGCAGACCTCAGTCACACTGAATAAATGGTGGAAAGAGTGGGAAAGGGGTGGGGAAAACTACCTGGATGATGAACTGTCAGTCCAAACCATGCTGCAAGCTCATGCTCAAAGCACGTGCAAGAATGCCTCAATCAGAGAGCACATGGAATTCTGACATGTGCGCATATGCAAAAACCGCTGAATACTACTGATCCTCTTAGTTGTCAACTCTGTTAAATTGCTTTTAACTGCATCAAAGAAATCTCCAGCAACAGTATGCAAAAAGCAAGACAATCAAACCTTGATGGTCCAGAAACTTTGTTGAGAGAATCCATACTGTTGCTCATAGAGCCTGGCCCTTGTAAATCACTCTGAAAAAAAATTATATAAATTCTATCTTAAACTTGAACTAAAAAGACAGGATAGGGATATCCCCTGAAATCACAAATTATAGGTAAGGTGCACATCAGTGACAGCTCACAGAGAAAGTGTGTAAAGAATCAATTTAAAAGTTGTGAACATTTTAAACAAGAGCTAAAGAAATGAAAAAAAAAAAAAAATGGAACAGTGTAACAGTGACCAAAAAAGTAGCCAATAATCTATTTCATGTGCAGCTAGTGAAATTGATTCAAGGTATAAATTGAACAACTTGTCCCTGTGTCATGTGATTTTTATACAGTAGTTTTGAGGAAGGTTCTTGGAGAAAAGGACTGAAAGTGCATGTGGCAATCTTGAAAGGTACCATGCAATTAATCTGGGTAGCTGCTAATTAATGAACTTTAATATGCCAAATAAATAAATAAATATATATTGCTTGGATTCATCAAAACTGCACTGCCTTGTCCTCAGAGTCACATTTTCTTGGATTGTCTCTGAAATCCTGAGGTCAAGGAACCATGACTTAAAAACTACCCACAGGGATCACATGCACTATGCGCAAGTAAGTAATTTCAATTCACCCACCTTATCATTGTTACTTTGAATACTGGTTGAGCTATTGAAAGCCTTGTCAATACTGGCCTGTGAATCACCACATAACAATTAAAATTTTAGTAACAGTATTTTGTTAGAAACTTTCTTATTGATCATCAAGTTAAGGATTCACTTCTCTGCCAACACAACACAACACAACACAACAATTTCTACAAAAGCTGATAACTCGTTCACTTCTACTTCAAGCCTACTTACTACAATTTTCAGTTGAGAGAGGGGCAACAAAAGTTTGGTGACCACATTTTGATGTTAAAAATGGGGTTGTTATCATGGGCAACTGGTGCTGTTTTCAGGGTCATTTGTGTCATTTGATTTCTTAACACTATCTCACATGCTTGACAGTTTATGATACACTGCTCTTGAGATTTGGTTAACATTGGAAACAAGGAAGGTTGCCCTTGAAAACAACATTATTTTACAAACAAAACAAAACCCTGTCACCAACCTCACTCCACACCTCACTCAAGTTCACCATCAGCAGAAATTCACCCACAACATTTAGTGTACATCCTTAGACTCAGTTCCTATGTATTCCACTTGCCTCAATTTGATAAACTTACCTGCATAGCTTCCATCCATTCCACTTGCAGTGCTTCACTATCTGCTTGTAAATACCATGATCTAGTGATACAGAGTAGAAGATATCATTTTCAGTTAACTCTAAACTCAAAAAGTGATTAACATGTCACTTCTCCCTATAATATCTACACATTATCCAGCAAATGGGTAACAAGAATACTCAAACTTATCAGGTAAAGAGAATACTCAAACTTGTTAGGAAGAAGTTGTTATCTTGATCTAACACCAATTCCTGTAACCAATTTACAAATGTCTTGCAGTTTGAGGGGAGAATTAACAATCAGATCTTGGAAACAATAACTATTGGTCACTCAGATGCTATCAATTCTGAGTTGTCTACTGTGTATTTGACAGATTTGCAAAAACAGAATTCAGTAGCCTTACTTTGTTGGTGATACCACTTCAAACATAAATCTTCTTTCCACTGTTTCCTCTGCAAGCCTAACTTTACACAATCGAAGATCTTCAACAAGTACTGTTTGATCATCCTGCAAAATTGAATGCAAGTGATACATTAACTGCATGTCATCATCGAATCCCTTCATTCATTTGACTGTACAACTGAAAAAAGGTTTTAATTAAAAACTTCAATAAATTTCCTAAGTATTCACAATTCAAAGCATGATAACATATGTGCATAAATAGGTGTATGCACCTGGCTGTTGACATTTGCAGCATGCATGTGATTGACATAATCAGAATGTGACACCAGAAATTGCACTTAGTGATCACACTCGTGAGTGTGTGTAATCTAAATACTACATTCATTCAGTCATACACACCTTTAATCTCTTCTGATACATCAGTTGGTTATTCTGAACTGTGAAATATCGCCTTTGGGAAAATAAAAATGAGGTATTTTACAATGAAATCATTTAAGACCTTAACCCTTTACACCCTAATATCAGTATGCATATTCTCCATACTGTTCTCTACAAATTTCATGAGGGACCAACAAGGAGAATTTGCCTGACAATCAATAGCTTTTTAGTCAGTGATCGTCTCCTTTATTCTTGAGACCTTAATGCTTGATTCAGGTGTCGTATTGTAAGGAGAAATTAGATGTTAGTCACTCTTAGGAGTTAGAGGGTAAATCAGCTGCTGCAGTTTTACTTCAGTGTCAATCAGTATCCCATTAAAAAGTACTCAGATCCACTACAACTTCTGAGAGTCAGAGATCTAACCTGTAGAATATTTCAGTCTAAATTCACCCCTAACTCACTGCTACCACACACTCACCTATGCCAACTTCTAAAAGCATTACTGCTCTTTTTAAATAAGTAGCCTTCCATTACTAAACCACTGCAAACAAATAGAAGATGAAAATTAACCCATAAGCACATGAACACAAACATGATTTTCACCAAACTGAATGCACAAGATTCACTCCTCAAAGTAAACAGAGAAGTTACAAACTTTGAGACTTTCCATTGTGAATGATGTAAAACATGTATTGAGTATTGTTCAGATACCATCAACAATTATAACAGTTTACCTTGCATCATTCAGGTTTCTTCTTCCTATGCATCCACTCTCCTCCTAAAATCACAAATCCAAGATAGCAAGCCTTGAGTAAAAACCATGAATCTCATAATCTGGTATTTGACAAATTTTCTGCCCCTTGTTTTTTGCACATTCGACCATAGAAATCTAATGGAATGGTTTCATAGACATTCCAAATCAATTACAACTCACCCACTAATCTCACTATCTTTTTTTGTTTTCTCACAGCCTTGCAACAAGACTCAATCTCACTTTATTGGGGGGAAATTGAATGAAAATGGGAAATAGAAAATTACTGGTAAATGATAAATATATGGAAACATTAACCAATGTATAAGTTTTGTACCCAACTGTATAATTTTTTTGCCTGTCTTTACCTTATTTTTAAACAAAATTCTAAGGCCCATGTTAGGAAATTTTAAATGGCTCTAAGGACAGAGCAAAATTTTTAAGATCTTAAATCATTATCGTAATAATTGATATTATACCCACCATTTTCTGGACCAATGTGTGTCTTTCTTCCATCTCTTTTTTGTCCATTGTAAACTGGACTGACACTTCTTCCACCTGGATTACAGAATTTGATACACAGTTGTTAAGAGTCACTATCAGCAGACTATTTCCAATTGATCAAAACCTGTCCTCTAATATTTTAACCCTTTCACTCCCAGGAGTGATCAAAGAGGAACTTCTCCTCACAATTTAAGTGCAACTCTTAGCATAAAGTTGATAAGAAGATTGAAAAATATCTGACGGGGGATACTGTTTGATAATTACAACCAAATTCTCAGAGCTTAAATTATAAGAAATATATGGCAAATGGTGTGAAGAATAAATCTTTAGATCCTAAGAGTGAAAGTGTTTCAATTTTTAAGTTCACAACTGCTTCTGAAATAATGAATCATTGTTTAAAATTAATATACAAACTCTTCCATCAAGGAACAAAAAATCCTAAAAGGTCTGACAGAACAAGACAAAGAACACCAAACTTGTTGAATGTTGCACCAATGGTATAATAGAAGCCAATATCTTGTTATCAAATTATTAATAGTAAATCAAATTCAACCCACCTGATTTGACACCCTCTTCATGTATGCATCTAAATCATTCATCAAATCATAACCTTGATGAAAATATGTTGACTGGGCATGCATAAACTTCAGAATCTATAACAGGAACAAAAACAGACAAGTTCAGTTTCTTCTCCCAGTCAGTCCTACTCATTCAATCTGTACTAAGACTTCTTTTCGAATTTGCAAGGACAAAAGAACCTGTTAGAAAAGATGGACTATATGCATGAAGAGGTCTAATTAACACTGCCATGTTCTACAAGGATTTCCAGCACTGAGAAAACCTGCAACTGCACATGTGTAAAATTATAATTATATTTTAAATGTGTTTGACATCACAATCAGCTGCTGACACATCACTTGTTTATTGTGCCACTCTGTCAGGTTAATAAATGAATAGCAAAACATTCACCATTCTTAATACAAGGTTGTTTGGTAAATTTGTGACCATGGAAGGCAAAACAGACACTAACGGAAAACTGTTAGAATAGCAAAAACACACAGATGACAAACGGTTGATGAACAGTCCTTGAGGCATTTGAACAGTTTGCCTAACCATTTGAACTGGTGAATAAATTATTTGAGAGGTTTGGTCAGCCATTTGAACAGATGAGTAAAAATTTTTATCAGATGGGCAAACCATTCAAATGGGTGAATAAATTAATTGAACAGTTTGATTAGCCCTTCAAACGGTTTGCTTAGCCATTCAAATGAATGAATAAAACAGATAATGTCAAATGGACTGGCAAGCCATTCAAATGGATGAAAATATTATTAAACCATGATTGGTTGTGGGATTGGTTTACCAATCATATGGATGAATGAGTTGCTTAAATGGTTTGCGAAACCGTTCCAATTGCATAACTTGATCATGGAATGGGCAATTATACTCTTGTCATTTAAGGCCTATAGTGATTAAATAGTAAACAAAATAATATGTGGTCTCTTGTATGTAAGGAATTTTCCTTCAAGTGTTCAACTAAACACTGCAAGAAGAATTCCATATCTCTGTGCATCCATCTATTATCCTCTACTTCTTACAGTGTCTAGAACATCAATCCTTCTTCGTGACTGTAAAATGTTGATCTGCAATACAAAGCATGGTTTTAAAAAACTGACAATAGTTCTTGGAAGGGGGATAAATTTCATGCTTGCTTACTAGACAATACAGCAACTATTGACAGAGATTCAATGAACATGACAAGCTCAAAATCGTCACTTCTACACTTTATCTACAACCTGGAAGGCATAGTCCAATGCTGTGTGGTTAAAACATGTCTGATTAGCTTTCACTGCATTCTTAACCTGTTTTGTGGAAATTAAAAAAAAAAAAAACAAAAAAAAAAAAAACATTAAATTAACTACTAGGTATTCAGTGTGGTCCTTCAATCGTCATATATAATACAGATTGGTAGGCACAGTAACACACAGCAAGTTACATGTACAAACATCTAGGTGGCTATGCAAAATTTTTAGCAACTACACATGAAGCTCTACAACAATAATCTAACCTCCTCCACTTCAGAGGCCTTACAGTGATGTGGAAGCTGTGCATTTCTTGTCAAGGCACTAAAAAGAAAACAAAACCAAAAAAAAAATTCACTCAGTCATACTATGGAGTAGTGTTTCAAGTGGTGACCATTTTTGTCACCAAGGTGAATGGAAAAAAATTTGGCTGATACATTTTTAGCAAAAGTCGCTAAATGGCCGATCTGTGTGCAGATGCCACATAGAAATCTGAAAGGTTTGCATTTGTCAAAAATCTTTATGATCTACATGCACAGTCATAAACCAGTTCCAGGCTGTTGCCACTTCCTCTTTCCTTATTCAAGTGTTGAGTCCTGAGATGTTAAATTAAGTGAACCTTACAATGACTGCTGGCTACTGTGGTGTTGCCTGCAGCTCTGATGACTTTTTTCTGATTTTCAGTTGCCAAATGGCAAAAAAATTTTGAGCTTAGAGTGCTAAAGAGCCTTATCTTGAAAGCCAATGGGCAAATAAGAGAAAATCCAACATGACCCTTTAGTTACAGCACCAATTATTGAGCTCATGTCAAAAAGGACAGTATACATGTCAAGTATTACACACTCACTTATCCAAATCATCACTGACTTTGTCAAACAGCTTTTTAGCATCCTTAACCTTCTTGACTTCCCTGTAAATGAGAGAAAATAAATAGTATTTAGTTTTGCAAAGATTTTTGATGTTCATCTACTTTTTGAGCAGCTACAGGTATGTTCTGAAATTGTAACAATGACAACACACTTAATTTTCTTTTTAGAGTATATTTGATTCAATAACTATTATTTAATTGTAGTTGCATCATAACAACTGTTTTAATTCCTGCTTTTAACAGCTGACAGTGTCAATTGGAATCTTGAATCAATCTTGAATTGTGTAATTAAAACAGTTGTAAATAGGCTCATTTTACAAGAGGAGGCAAACAAATCAACTGACACAACTACAATGTACTATGTAAAAAAAAAATGAAAAATTCACTTTTTTCTTCTTTACTTTACATTTAACTTCTCCCACATTGTACCTCTCCCCACCTCAAACTGTCCATTGCTGTGTAAGAACTATGCAAATCTTAGAAGGAAAAAACTTTTACAGAGAGAGGAGATGGATTTAGAAAGGTTAAGGAATTGAAAAGATGTGATTTCATCAAAATTTTCAAAATACAGGTGGGTGTTAACCCTTTTGTAGTGCAATGCAGGTTATCCAATTTCCCTTTTTAAGACAAACCTGACAAGAATTTTCACAACCACACTTACTCTTTGATAAAAGTTCTCAGTGTGCTTGAGATTGATTTTTGTGCTTGCTCTAAAAGAATCTGAGGAAAATACAGATACTGATTATTTCACCAAACATGTCATCAAAAATCCAATTCTAGGTGATGTGAGAGAAGAAAACATTTTTTCTCTATGCAAGGTATGAAGTCAATGGTAATGAAAGTGAACTGTCAAAAACATGATGTACACATTCACAAAATGTACTGCAAATAAGAGAGTTATCAGTCTATGCTTGTTCTTGTTTAAGGCTGGGTGTGGGGTATGTGAAGCCATATAAAAGGTTCACAATTCTCCACTGTAACAGCTTCTGTTTACCACCAGTCTAATGATATAATCAACATATTGTTCTCCGTGACTGCCAGAAAACAAACACAACAAAATCACAAAGGGCAACAATTCCATGTAGAAAATTTTTTTTTCTATAAATCATTTTTACTAATTGAAATATTACTTTTTAAATGAGATGTGATTTTAAGGAAGGACTATGGACTATTATAGAGTTGACAATTGAGGAAATCTCACTCACTGATAGGAAGCTCTGAAGCTCAGTCAGAGCACAAGAGAACTTGTCCAGTGTGAATGACACCAGCTCATCTCCTGCAAAGTACTTTGTCAGGTTGTCAATACCACTCACTAAAGCACTGAAGGAAAAGTGACGAAAGCCTTTATGTGAAAATACAGTCATGTAACTAACAAACAATTCTTGTCTGAGCTATTCAATTCCGAATTGTGCTATCCTAGACTCTGGGTGCCACAGGAAACCAACTTATGTCATTGGGTGACCTGTATCACTTTGCTGTTATATAAAAGATGTTATGACCTGGTCAGGACAACCCTCATATGTGAAACAAGATCCTTTAGAAACCCAGTAATCCTTTAACCCTTTACACCCCTGCATCTGTATACAAATTCTCCATACTGTTCTCTATACATTTCCCATAGTGCTGAGCAGGAGAATTTGTTGGACAATCAAGGTTTCTTTTGTTGGCAAACATTTCCTTTATTCTCATCACCTTAATATTTGATTTAGAAGTGATACGTTAAGGAGAAATTCAATGTTAGTCACTGTTAAGAGTCAAAAGGGTTAAAGAGTAGAGCTTTCCAAAGAGGGAGAAGTGAAAGACCAAGAGAAAAACCACAAAAAGAGATCAGAGTTCTTTAACTGTGTACTGGCACTACCTGGTGGATAAGTTGAACTGTTTCCCTGTCTCTACCATTCCACCACAAAGCTTGATGAGCTACAAGGAACACAAAGGCAAAAAATTATGTTGAACTGATGCTGACAATACTGCAATTTAAGAATGCATCTTATTCAAAGTTATTATAAATTAAGTTCTGCACAAAACTTGGTACTTATTTTAAACACAAACAAGAAATATTTAGCTCTCTGGGCTGACTAAACTCAGTCAATGAGCATCTTGTCATATGATTTCTTCTCTTCATTTTTTTGCACTTTCTTCTTGCTTGAATTTCATGGGGAAAAACACAAGGATATACATTTCCTCCATCTCTACTTCCACTATCCTATACAACCCTCAAACAGGGATTTTTCTACTGTTTATCAATAAAAGTGCACACTGAGCCATATGGCTAACACAACGATGTAAAGGGTTTGAACTTAATCCAAACTTATTTCTTGAAGCCTTAATACTCAAAGGTCCACATATTACTGGAATCTATGTCTACATTACTTTTCTATTTCCTCAATTCTTATTCCCCCAGTTTCTGATCTTTCTCCATCTGATGTACACACTAAAAACAGAAATGGTAAAAAATTCACCTTTTCTAAAGCAACTTCCAAAACATTGATATCTTGTTCATTTTGATCGATCTGTAATCTATATAAAAAAAAACATTTACTAGGGATCAATACTGCTTAATAAAAGTGACTAAAGAATGTAAATAATCTACATTGATATTGTTTACTTCCTCTGCTTCTCTGCCAGACGCTAACATTACAAACTGAATAAGTTTAATAATATGAAAATGATCAATGATCATGAGTGGCACAAGAATGTTTATATCATGATCAAGACTAAAGGGAAGAGCCAGACCAAGCCTTAAGACAAGGCACAGAGGTTAGGGGACTGTGCATGAGATACTTAATGGAGGTCATTTTAGAAAATAATTTTAACCATTCACTCCCAGCAGTGAATAAGAAACACCTTCTCCTCACAGCATCAATACCATGACAAGCAGACAAATAAAGAGGATTTGTGAAAATATCAACAAGGATATTATCATTTCATTCTGTCAATACTTAATTATAAATTCTCAAACTTTTGAGCCTACACTGGCCACAATTGCTTGGTGAAACTCAAAAAATGAAAAAAAGGACACAAAAATATTACCACTCTTAAGAGGAGGGAGGTAAAAGCTCTTCTTTTGGGAAAAGCTTTAAAATAAACAGGAATTTCCAGAGAGCCTTATGGTGTTTACTGGCACAGCAATACAATACTGATATTGCTGAAGTATGTGCAAGCAAGATTAAAATCTTGCAGACTGAAAAAAACAAACACCAACTTATACTTGAGGATATTTAATTCCTCAATAAAATCGATCTTAAATGCCACAAGGGCAAAGACAATGTGACACCATTGAAACTCTTTTCATAGTAAACAGAACGTGCATAATGCACTTCAAAAGAATTGAGGCAGAAACTAATTAAAGAAGCAACTGGAAATCTTCATTGACTGATTTCAATATTTTTTGTAAAATGTTTGTTTGAAATGAATAAAAATAACTTAAACGTCCTTGATCTATCCACCGACAAAGAAATCGAAACTAGGTCCATTAAAGCTTAACTTGTAAGTACAAAGTGCGAAACATATTATCCCATGGCCAGCTAAAATTAAATACAATTGACTTCTTACCAGAATTTTATGAAAGTTTTGGGCAAAATCAGCCACATTTAAACAAAGTAGGATTTTAAGCTTCTTATTTCATTTTCTCTAGTGCTCAGTCTAATCAGTGCAGTTGTAAACCTGAAACAATTTATCGAGCATGTGTGAAGCCATTAAAATCGTAACTTGAGTTGATGCCGCTCACACCTGTCTGAAAGTTGTTCAGGAATGATGTCGTTTGAAAATATCCGTTTCTATAGCAAGCGGATAAAACTTAAAAAATAACGCGTTCATGAATGACTTCACGTGCAGTTAAAGTTCAACCGAAAGTTGAACCCGAAAAAAAAACTTCTGAAAACATGACACCTGAAAATTTGTCCAATATAATTTGAAAACTACACTGAACTGAGGAATCCCACGACGATTTTTCACACTAAATAAGAAAAGAAGTCACTTATCACTGAGAAAACAAGGGAAGTAACGCGACCCCATGTCATGTTACAAAGAATAGCAACAATTGAAAAGTAAAAGCCTCGCCTACGATCGCGAGTCCTTCCATATAACGTCCCTCAATTCTGATAAAGAATCTTATCTTTGCTTACCTGAAACGGGGAGAGTCTTTCAAGCACTCCTCGAATTCTACCGCCTGCTTCATATTGAGTGCTAAAGGTGAAGTTTAATGCCAACGAAGCCCTTCAAACGACTGACAACATCCGGAAATGCTGTTACTCTCTCTTCATCTAGCCCGCCATATTTGTTTTCTGAAGTGGAATAACTAGTTGCCAGTCTCCGACCTCTGACTCCAAGCACGAGTTACCTAATATTCTGCTGGAGTGGGTGGGTGGCTGGAAGATTCGAGATTAGTATTCACAATTCCGATGAGATTTGAAAGAAAATTATAGTTAGATATCACTCGAGAAGCCTCAAAATTTCGCCGGACTGGGCTTTTATTTCCAAGCAATTTCATTATACATTGTCAATCATTCCCGATTCTCTTACAGATTCTACAAAAATGTTCTGTCAACGCGCTACGACACGCGCTACGGATCTGTCAGTGAATTTATTGATCCTGTTTTGTCACAAGGAAACCTTAGTTTGCAGCTCTTAGTGATTGAACTGGGTTCTTAGCCGTCTTTTTTCTTCTTTCGCATTAATTACTGTAAATTACTTTCGTGGCAAATAAGGAAAAAGGAGAACTAAATACAACGAAACAAAACTAATGTTAGTTCAGAAGAGATTTTTTAAACTTATAAAATTACGACTCTGTAATTACTCTAGAGAGGCACTAGCTCTTTTTTCACTCGACTTCAGATGTTTGTGTCAGTCTTTTATAAAAATGCTCTCATTTTGAAAAAGAAATGAGGATAAACTTAGAGGACGAGTTCCAAAATAAATATTATTATGAAATCAACGGGTAATTATGACTAGCTAAGTTAGTTGAACGATAAACGCACCGAGTTATTTCTTTCTTTTATTAGGTACAAAATTGACTAGCTACTAAGTTACATTTTTCGCTCGCTGCTGTACGTCTTCAGTCCTAGTTTAAAATTTATTTTTGGCCTTGAAAAAGATATTTGGAAAAAAAAAGTGGATTTAGCAACTTTCGCTTGATATGATAACAAAAAAAGTATTTGGTAGAAAAATTTAACCAGACAAAGATTTTAGCCACTGCAAATATATCAGATCAGCCTTTGAATTTTTTCCTATTCTTTATGTCTGATTGGTGTCCGGAATTAATCCAAATGGTATAAATTCATTGTTTTAGAATAAAATAGATCGTAGCTGCAAGCACGTACATTAAAAAAGATCTATATATTTCTCCGGCACCTTTGCTGACATTAAAAAAAAAAACATAATTAATCTTCTAAAACAGAAGACTTGTTAATAATAAATAGATTTTTGAAATTTGTCTTTGAATGGATTCCCACGAAATAACGTGTTCTGATTGGTTATTTAATGATCCAGTTTGCGACAGGCGCGCGCCTTTATGACGTGAAATTCGCGCCAGTTGTCAGTGAAAAAAGTCATGGCTGTCTTCTTGCAAGCCGGTCCTGCCTGAGAGACAGGATTTTTCAACGAAAATTTCGCTTCGAGATGAAAAAGAAACAGTCGCCGAAGAAATCTCCGAAAGAACATCACATTTCCAAGGCTCAAAAAGGTAATCATGAAAAACTCAGTATCAAAAGGTGCGTCGATCCCGCCGTTTTGGCGCTGCGAAAGGTTTCAAACACGGAAAGGCCGCCAACACCATATGAAAACGAAAACAGAGCAAGTGAACAAGTTCTCGGCCCTGTATTCGTACCAAACAAGTTTATGAATGGAAGCCAGAATTATACGCAGTATGCCCGAGCCCTGCCATCTGCCTCATGGCCTGTAAACAGCTCTCCAGCGTTTTGCAAAGTGGATGGAAAAACTTCAAACCTTTCCGAAATTTACGGAATTTCAAAACCTGAAGGAACATTAGCTAGCAGTCTCCCAGCTGTGGACAAAAAGGGGCCTTTTAGACTCTCAAACGAGGAATTAAGAACCACAAAAAGAGCTTCGTTTCTTCCTAAGATTGATGGAAATTCAAAGACAAAATCAGCTTCGTTTCACAGTGTAGTTTTAAGCGACCAAGGTCTTGGGCGAAGCCCACAAACAAGTTCGGAAATGATCAGACTCCCACCTGCAAAAATACATAACGGGAATATTACCTGCAAAGCAAACAATTCGCCCCAGCTGTCCACTGATGAAAAAATTACAATGAAAAGCTCCTCCTCAGAGGATGTTGGCTCGTCGGAAATTGTCCCGAAGCCTCCAAGTATTTCTAAAACAAAAGACAAGAGTACGACACGAAGAAAAATAAAGCGAAGGAAAGCGGAAGATGAGCGAAGCAGTTGAAATCTACTACTCGAGAGTAACAAGCTTCTAGATGAGCTCAGAAGTGGCCTGAATCAAACCGTAACGATCGACGAGTTATGAAGCTGCAAGGCCATTGTGTAGAATTGAATTAATATTCTTTATGTCAATATTTAGGCTTTCAATTTTGAAAAATAATTTCGTTATTTATTTTGATTAGTAAGTTTGACATCAAATGCGACACTTAATTTCCATTTTATCGAACTTTTTATCTGCAACCTTTAATTCTTAATAGTAAAAAAGAGACCAAAAATGTTAAGAGTCTATTTATGATCAGCCCATGTCGCAAACAGTATTTTTTTTTCTAAATTACCGTGTTTAACGTTAGGTCAACTTGAGGCGGTGTTTCAGGTCATACTTTTGTAACTAAATTATTTGAACAAAGTCGATAAGCTAAAATATTAAGAGAAATTAATTCCATCCTTAACATGAACAAAAGCTGTATATATATTGCATGACAAAAGAAATTTGAACATTTATTGCTTGTTGTCTTTAGACTTTAAACTAAATGTAACTGATTCCATTCAAATGAGAATCAAATATTTTCAAAAGTTCATTTTTCAATTTTTGGAAACTGCCGGTAACAATATCTTAAAGAAATTCAGACTTGATCAACGACTGGATTAGTTCCTGAGTACTCTTTATCAACTGAAAATTTAGCGGGCTTCGGTCAGATTGTGAACACAGCATCACCAAAACTTACAAGAAAAAGTATATATAACCTCCCTGACACTGTAAATATTCAATAATTATTAGATACTATGGTATAATTATTGGCTTTTACAGTATTATTTGTATGAATGTTTGTTAAAGTTTCCACTTTTTTTAACACAAACAAATGTGATGTTATATATATTAAAATTGGTCAATAACTCAGCTTTACATATTCATCATACTTTCAGGGTGGGTACTCCCACGTCTGCAAGGGAAACGCATTTCGCTCTCAAATTAAAAAAATTTCGGAACTTTTGTGCGTTAACTGAAAAAGTAAGCTCATAAATATTTCTTGTGATTGTGTGAAAGACGTTTTTAACGCAGTTATGGTCGGTTTTAATAATTTTCATTCAAAGTTGCCAAGGAATGTTCGCTCTTCAGATTTATTTAAACACAACCCCGTAGCTTAAAATGTCCAAAAATATGCTTTCAAAAATGAGAAAGATGTTCTGTCGAAGAAAGGCCTCATAAAATTTCAAATTGTAAGTTTTTAAAGATATATTTAGTTAACACCATCGAACTATAAATCCTTTGTGAACAAATAAAAAACAGCTTGAAGTCCCCAAGATTAGTAATGAAACTAAAATCAAGAATCTAAAATGAACAGCTTAGTCCATAAAGACAATAGATGGTTACGAGTTAAAAGTTAATTCATGCACGTTTTCAGTTTCAAAAGCTCGCTTTCTTCGCACAAACTCAACAATTCTAATTATCTAGCTCAACTGAAACGTTGTTACTCTTAATACTTTTCCATGAATGAGAAATTTTCAAAATTACTCATCGAGATGCTGAAAACGGCGATGAAGACCATATCGGTGCGTGAATCTCTAAGAAGTTTACTGTTCAGTGCAGGACTGTACCGACAGCAGACTGTCTTGTTGGAAAACCAAAACTGTCACCACCATCTCTCACAGAATCGTAGACGATGTTAGACGAAATACAGCGAGGGGTGAAATAACGAGGAGTGGGTAGAAGCACTGGTCGATAAAGTGTGTTCCGGGAGTTGTTTTTGATATCATATTCACATTCATTTGAGTTAAAAGAATACGAGGGAGTCGCATAGAATGGCGACGCTGTTTGTTCTCGTGGAATGTCAAATTGGCTCTGAAATACCAGTCTTGTCGGTGCTGGACTTTGGTTGAAAATTGCAGGGGTTTCTTCAAGTCCTACCGTGGTTTCTAAGGGAAAATCATGAAATGATGATGATGATAAACGCAGGTAATTTCGAAAACTGTGTCGAACGTACAGTGAATTATATTTCCATTCATACCGCACGAGGCAAATTGCTGCACGGTCGAAGTTGTCATGGTTTAGCTTTATCTTTATCATTACGTCGTAAACAAGCATTTTATATCAAAATTTAGAATAGCAAAGATAGAGGAAACTCATTGTCCCTTACATTGTGATGCTCGAGAGTTTGATACGAAATTTATTAGAATTGTCTTTCGAGCTAGTGTCTCGCTCATTTATACTACAATTTGGCGCGTGTTTTTTAGACTTTGCTCATCCTCTTCGACTCAAATGATAGCGGTGAGTCTCATTGTTGTATAGCATGAGAATCGAGGATTGCCTGGGTTCGAAAAAAAGCAAAAAACAAGTATAACCGTGATAGTTACTACGAGAAATTTGCCATCAAAACTTGTAAGTTTTTCTATGGAATCGTACCTCCCTGTTTGTCGGCTTTCTTCTCGTTTTGCACTTTCTGAATGAATTTGACGGTTATCTCCAAAATTTCCGCCTTTTCAAGTCTGCAGCCTTTCTTGATCTATAAGCCAATGAAAGAGTTCAAAATAGATCGAAAAATACAAACATTGAGATTAAAATACATAAAGGGATAGCTAAAACAGTGGGTTCAATGTATAAGAAGCACGCTTAAAGAAAACTCCGCGTGGTCTTTTACTAAGGTGACAGCTAATTCTGACACACAGACTGCACCTACCTCCAGCTCCCTGGCTTCAGGGATCAGCCGTTTAATTTGAGACAAGCAATTGTTGATTCTTTGCCGTCTTTTTCTTTCCATTTCAGGTTTTTTAGGTGACATAATGGAAGCACAACTCAGTTTATGAAACTCCTGCCTTGACATTTGGCGCCCTTTCTGCGCGTGCGGCGTATAACTGCCTCGCGCTTGTCTCACGACCAGGGTTCACGGCATAAGAAGTCCATACACGTTCCCGCCTCTTTTATATGCTAGCAAAATATTGTCATGTTCATGGGAGGGGAGCAAAGAGAAAAGTCTAATTAGTTTTTAAGTGTGAATTGTGATTATTTACATCCCAATTTACATTATGTTGCCTTACAAGTCTGTCCTTTCCCGATTCGACCGGAACTGTCCGACATCAGACGAAGGTGTCCGAAATCAAACCGAACTCTTCAAAAGTTGAATGGGAACGTCCGAAATCGATCGAAATTATCCGAAATCGGACAGAGATATCTGAACTCGGTCGGGAGACTGGTGCCCGAAATCGGATGGAACTACCAAAATCAGACTAAGACGTGCAAGAAAGTATGCCGTGATTGGCACTCTCTATACACTCCAAAGTATTTTAACCACTCAGGGAACTCATACAATTTGGTCCCCGTCATCTCGAAGTCTTTTTGAAGGTAGATCCGAAGTACTTTTATCAAAAAGCGAAATTTTTTTCTAGGATCTTCAACAGAATCACTTTACGGTGCAAAACCTTAAAATGACATTTAATCAAATTAAACTCACAGTAAGAAGGTAAGAAAAATTATAATCTTCTTCTTTTCTACCTGCACACAGGGTCTCAGATCAGCTTCTGTGTGTTTTTCATAATTTTATTTGCCTAAATCTGAGGAAGAGGTTAGGTATGACGTCTCCAAGGATTGATTCGTTCTTTAGACAATTTTTTTTCAGTCTTGACTTCTCTATAGGGGTAAGAGGGGGGTGCGGTGGAAGGAGGTGATCGGTCCCATCTTTAGCCTCGTTAACCGTTGGAAGTACAGAGAGAATGGCATAAAAGAGTTTCGGATCAATATCAGTATCTGGGCAACTGCCCACCTACCCCTCCCCTAACTCAACAACAGTCAACTGACAACAATTTAACGTTAATGTTGGGTTAAGGGAGGGGTGGGTGGGCAGTTGCCCAGAGACTGATATTGATCCATAGATTCAGTGTGCAATTTTCGCTTTTAAGCAGGAATGTGAATCAATAGAGCCTAGAAAAGGCGTTTGTTTAAGACTAACCGTTTACTTTGATCATTTTGTATCTCTGCTCTGAAGCTTTTACACCTCACGCAATGCTGCCCTTAGCATTTTCACAGTTGTCCCCTAAAATTGTTATGGGATATAAGGAACAAAATTGATAGATATTTATAAACTATAACCAATATGCTGCTACTCCAGTTTTTCTCAAATGATTTCATTCTGAGATAAGGTATTCTCGAAAGAAACAGCAAGGTACGAACCCAACGTTTACTGGCACAAACTTTAGGTTGAACACAAACAGTACATTGCTAAAGGAGCGATAATCACTCGCCCCATTTTTAAAAGGCGGATTGATTGAGTAAAGTAAACGAGAGAGAGGCACCTTTATTGTTTTTTTTCCATGCTGAGCGTCTAACTTGAATGTCTTAATATTCTCCTGAACACCTTTTGTTTGTTCCCATTAAGTAACGAGTGACAAGAACAACCTTGTTCCCAACGTCCTCTCTCATCCTCCTTCAAGAAAAATATCGGGGGAGGACGAGAGAGGACCCCGGGAACGAGGTTGGGACGAGAGTACGCTGTGTGATGTAGCCAGGCGATGGCTGCGAAAGAGATTAGAGTCCTAATCATTCTTGCAGTCATGTCCACAAATCCAGGGTCTCCATAGATTTTGATTCTCTGGAGCAGCAAGTGTCTGTCGATCAGTGGTAGGTGGAGGTACTTGAGGGACCAACCCGAAAGATGTCGGCTGATGTAACATGGAATCCGAAACAAACCAGGTGGAGTTTTTGGAGTGAAGGCCACTTGATATTCCGATGGTGTGGGGCGGGAAATGTGGAGAAATTGAAGAACACAAAGATTTGAGGGCATTTAAGGGTCCCTTAAACGTGGTTTCCACGGCAACGCCGTCTTTCTTCTCCTCAAGTCGTTCCTCAGGTTTTCTTTTGTCATAACCAGTTTCGGCAGAAACGTTATTGACTTTGAGAGGACAGGTCTTGGGAGAGAATGACGTTTCCCTTCCCCTGACCGATGCTTCTATGGGCGCTCGTGATAACTTCACGTTGAGATCATCAGTGCATGAAAATGTATCAGTTTCGTGGACAAAGAGCCGTTTCTCGCAAAAGGAACACAAGCAACAAGTTTGATACGAAGTGGTATCATAAAGTTTAAAATTCTCGCGTTCTGTGGAGAAAAATAAATTTGTCTTTGTTTCAATGTTTTACCATTTGGTATATAACAGAAAGCTTATGCAGTTTTTATTCTCTCTGAGCTTTAGTTACCTTGTTGACTGGATCGAATGTAATCCACAACTAGCTGAAGAATCTTTGTTTGCCTTAATCGGTGGCCAAGTTGTAGCTGTTGATAAATTGAATAGCAATGGTAACTAGCACCCAGTTCATCGGGAGTTCACTTTTCTATCCATTATAATTCCTAAACATCTTCGCTTCTTTTGGCAAGCAAAGCCTTAGCGCAAGAAATCGAATAGCCTCTTGATTTGTTAAGCGAACGCCCCGTCAGCTCACAGAACAGAGGGGTTCTGAGATGAGAATAGGGTCAACCTCGCCCCCTAGGCGTTTCTCTTTGAATTCATTTGGCTTCATGATGAATCTGTAAATCTACGAATTTGTATCGTAAATGGTATACTGGGTAAGGAACCTATTTTCTTGCTAAGAAACTCTCCTTTGAAGAAAGGAAAGCTGGTAGCAACAAATCCCTTTTTGTTAACGGCAACCGACATTCTGACTTCCTTATGGAAATTAACGCGACTGGGTCTGCGAGAGAATTACTCATTCATAAATAAACCATTTCCGGCAGCATATATATGCAAAGTCGATTTCTTTTTTCATGTGAATTGATCTTAAAGTTGTTAATTAATCTTTACTTTAGAAAACTGCCACGTTTATACAAAATCCAGTTTTCGTTGCATCAGCGTGGAAAGACCCGTGATCAAAGTATGATATTAGCGGTAACCGCGCTCCAGTAAAGTTCTAGCCAAACTGCTCATAAAAATTTTCAAAATCGGTTACCTGTTTTTTAGCCTCTGGAATAAGCGAGGCCAGTTCTTCTAAGCTTTTCTTGATCCTGTCTCTTCGCTGTTTTTCCACAAGTTGTTTCGTTTGCCTTCTTTTTGTCTTCTACATGAGCCGGACCGCCAGATCCATGCAAAGCAAAAATTAAGATTTGGCTCTGGAACTACATTTTTCCGATTCTTTTTCGAGATATATCTATTGTCTGAATTAGTCATACGATTGCGTTACCTTGGCTAGAGCGCTTTCCATTGCTTTCACGTCAACTGTAACAAGATTCTTGCAAAGTTTTCAATGTTTGTCAAGAAGTGAGGTACCTTGCCCCGCTACATCCATGTGAACTGCCGAATTATAATGTTCCAGGCCCCATATAACCTTCCCGTCAAGTATGATTGACGTTTCAGATGCCATTCAAGATCAAATCTGCAGATTATCCGTGTGAAAATTTTCAGCTTCACGTGAAGTGTTACTTCAACCCGGCGCCACACAACAGTTTCATCCAGGTGTCGTGAAATCGAAAGCCAATATTACGAAGGTGTGATCGAGACAAGAGATGAATGAGTTTTACTTCCACAAGGGTTTAAGGCATTAAAGGTTGAGCCTTTATCATTAATGTCCAAGCGAGTCTCTCAAAAGCCATGAAAACTTCTGCAATATCTTAAAAGTTCATCATCCAAATTGAACCAGCTCTTTAACGACTTTTTCGTGTAAAAAATATTTCAACGGCTGAAGAAAAAGTCGGTTATTATCCGAGTGCTATCTTTCGAAAATTTCTTTGCCTGCTATCATTTCTATTAAACTTTTAATAGAGCATCAGATGAAACATTGACATTTGTATTCATTGAGTTTCAGCTTTCAAATTTGATACAATTTGAACATTCGGCGTTTAAAAAAAGCTTTTTATCCACGAGGCTTTTAACCCATTCACACCACCAAAGTAGACGAAGCTGAGTAATAAAATCAGTAAAAGAAAACTGAAAAACTGAATTTTTACGTGGGGTTTAAGTAATCATCAACTTGTGCTTCCATTTTTACTAAATTGGAAGGCAACAAACATCAGTTTCTCAAACTGGGTTTAACAACACAGCCTTGAAACGTGTTTTAACTTTGGGTATGAATTGGGTGTATATCTAGGTGTATGTCTAGTCATTAATTAATCAAAGTCTGTGGATTACAGATCTTCTCCTCTCAATACGCATGTCCCTCGTCATAATTTGACAACAAGGGTTTACATAAACACGTTGATACGCGATTGGTACAAGAATTGTATGTTTGGTTAGTCTTTCATTCATCTCAGTCGGATTCGACAGGACAAAGGTAAACATCCAGCCCTTGATACTAAAACTACACTGAGTAAAATTCTCGTATTTGTTCATTACCTAATGTTCCTAGAAAGTTGTCTTATGTGACTGATTTATCCTCGTCACTAAGAGGACAGCAAAGAGGGAGTCCTGACCCCGTTTCACACACAAATTTGACAAAAATTCACGCGTCACGTATGTAAAAGAGAAAATTTCAACTCTCTTCTTGTGTACGTTTCAGAAAAATCCTAAGGTTTTCAAGAAACAAAAGAAGAATTAATTCACGGGTCACGTATGTTTCGGGAGTTATATAACGCCTCAAACTGTTTCACAAATTCACGAATCACTCTCGCTTTTCTGTAAAATTCACGCGTCACATATTCAGTTTTTGCCTTGATCACGCACCACGTTAAAACTCTTTCAGCTTTCAAATTCAACCAAAATTGAGCCTAAGACAAATTAACTATTAGCAACTTTGTGAACTGAAGGTGGTATGAAAACGGTTAACACTCGATTACAAATTTAAGTAAGCCCGTGCGTCTGACAAAAGTTTTTCTTTTGAAAGAAGACAACAATCACAGACGACAACAAAACTGTGGTCAAGATGTGTAAAGTCCCTCATCCTTCTCATCCCTAGGTAAACTCTGCTCAAACATTTCAGCAAGAAGAGGATCACAGACCTAACAAAATTCACAAACAGTTCACACAAATTTTACTAGAAAATCTTTTCCGTACTGAAACAAAATAACTCAATTGTACAAACCTCAAGGAAAAGGAAAATGGTACCCGATTTATACACAATTCTTTATTTTATGCTCATTTTCAGTGAAAAAACATTCAGTGTTGCTCACAATACACTCAAGGATGCGATACAGGACCTGAGAGGAAATCTCTTTCGAGCACACATTTACAGAGTAAAAAGCAAGAAAAAAAAAAACAAGTTGATGGATCTTATTAATCACCTACAAGTTTTTCGGTCGTGTGTGGTATATGCAACTTGGACTCCGTAAAATTACTCTATCGAATTTTAATCTACTTCTCGCTGTTCAAAGCTTCGATGAATTGTTCCAGACTTTCTTGAATGTGTCTCACATGTTCTGAAATTTAAAGGAAAAAAGAAATCAAAATTATAATAGAGTTGGGGTAAACCACTATTATCATAACAGAGGCGGAAAAATTAAATAAAATAAAAAAGGATTCTAGAGAGCACAGACGTAGAGAAAATCAAACGAAGCTAGCTGGGGCTTTTTTTCTGATGTTTTACCACCCTTCGACATAGGACCCTTTAGAAGAGTTGTATCTTGTGGTTGGCTATTTCAGTGGCACGTGTCCATCTACGACGGGAGAGCAAAGAGGATGAGGTAAGGGGTGATAAGTTTGCAAATCGGCACATTTGGCCGGACTGCGACTTTATTTGCTAAAAAAAATACCCGGGTTCGAAAAGAGTATAAAAATACCGTGAATCGTGGAGTGTGATTTATCCCAGTGAACTAAATGGCACCACACAAAAATAAAAAGATTTCCAAAATTTTCACACGTTACTCCGACAATTTTCTCTTCCCTTCGCCAATTAAAGAGCCGAACACCCACCCTAGCACGTGGCGTCTTTGACAGTTTCACATTTTGGAGGAGAAACTTACAAGTCTTAAAAGAGCATAAGGCAAATTCAAGATTCACACGACAAAAATCACGTCCAAATTTACCAGGGAAAAGAATTTTGGAACGATGGACTCATTAGCAGATCATTAACGCTTTGATATCAATTATATTGAGCTGATACGTTTGTGAAGAATACAACAATTGAATACTCTGAGAAAATTGTGCTCCCAAGCGTCTGGTTGGGTTCGCATAGATTTTTAAAAACAATAAAAACTGAGTCAAAAGTTTTGCTTTGCTAATGGTTTCGGGCTTTCAAATCACATGAAATCTAGTTCTGTGTATTGTTTATTTAACTTCAGGTTTATCCAGTAACACTGTGAAATGAAATTATGTAAATATTCACTCGGGGAGTAATATGGCAGAGATTGGCAAGCCAGCCATGTGTAAAGAGTGTAACCAAAGAAACAAGGATTACTTGAAATTATGACTTTTTGACAACATCTTACAATGGATCGTGAAATTTCGCACTCTTTTCGTTGTTTTAAAGACAAAAGGTTTGAATTCTAGCCAAAATTTTTTTTCGTCTGGGTAAATTTCATCAAGGAACAGTATTTGGCAGTTAAAGCAATTTTTTTTATGACAATTGTTATGAGAATAGAAAGAAATAATCGCCAACTAAAGAGGCGTTTGATTATTTGACAAATTCTCCTTGTAATACCACAGGAAATATACAGAGAAAAGTGAGGAGAATATGCATACTGATGTGAAGGTGTAAAAAGTTAAGAGGAGCTTAGAACGACACACAACAATTCACTTACTTAATTCTTCGGCAAGATCCACTTGTCTTCCTCGAATGAGTCGCTCTTTAGCTGTCTGATCGTAGCTTATTTCATCCAGAACTTGTTTCACCTCTTTCTCCAGTCGGCGAGCTACAAGATTTGAAGACGAGGTCAATTTAAGAAGACAACCCTTGGTACAATTATTACAAAGGTAGTAAGGGCCACACAAAGGAAGGTCAATATTGGCTAAGTTACCTTCATGGTTCATTACTTGTTGTCTAATGGCGTTACTTGTAGTTTGTAGCATCTTCTGGATTCGCCAAAATAGGACCACGTCGTTGCATGCCAGCTAGAACGAGAAAAATGGACAAAAGGTGCAGCTTGTTAATGAACTTCAACGTGTTCCATCTCCTTCGACCCTTCCCTCCCCCTACCCCCTACCCCCTCCCCGTTCGTCAAGACTGGTACATGGAGAGTTTCGACTCACCTCACCCCACCGTTCTTATCCTGCAGGCCTTATTCTCGCTGTTTTTAAGAGACTTCTGCGAAGTTACATTCGTCATGTTATCCTAAACATACCCTCCCAGCTTACCTCCGTTTTTTTTTTATATACGTGCGATTTCCTAACCAATAAACAGAGGCTTTCAATATAAAAACCCTTAATCAGGATTGTATTCGACTCTTACGACCTTTTTTTCCCCCCCACAAATCATAGCCGTCCTCATTATTAGTGTAACAGTTCACGCTGCAAGACGCGTGTTTCTCCGCCTCCGGGGAGATTTGAGAGGAGACGTTTGCCGGGGGTCCGGTGCTAACTACTCCCTCAGCTGACCTCGCGCCGCTCGCTTGCTCCAGGCCTCTCACTTTCCCGCGAGCGAAGAAACACTCGTGCTGAGGCGCTGCTCATAAGAAAAAGGAGGCACTGCTCGCAGGCTACACAAAGTCACGCTCACATCACTGTTTGAAACAAAAATATACCTAAGATATCGTTTTCTTCAAAGTTTTCGTCAGTCCACTATTAAATTTCAACATTTTCGGTCTTCTTTTATACATGAGGATTTCTCCTGAAGTATAAAAATACTGAAATAGAAACCAGGCCTCTTGTACCTCATTCTTGACCAAATCTCTTCTGTAGAAAGCATTTCTACATTCCTGAACGTTCCCCAGGGCCTGCTTTAAAAAGTGCTCCCGATACAACTGGCTCCAAGTTTCAGTTACCTTATAAAATAATAATAATATAGAAAAATTAAATAACTAATTCAACAAATAAATCATTTAAAAATAAATAAATAAAGGAAAGAAACACAAAATTTGCTATAAAAAGAACAAACTCCCATTGTCTAAAAAGCAGTTAAAAATGAAACTAAACAACTTAGACAAAAATTGCTTCGATGTGCCTCAGAATTCTCAAAGTATGCACCAAAAAGATGTCATAGCCAAGACAGAGAAAAATTAACAACATCAACTACTAACCAGGTCTGGCGAGACGTCCACGCTGATTGTTTCCAAGTTTTTTCTTACTGTGGTAAGTTCATCGTCCGCTAGAACTGGACCGTGTCTCTTCAAATATTTCAGCAAAAAAACAGAATTAACCTTTTACATCTTATCATCAGTATAGATAATCTCCATACTGTTCTCTATACATTTCCAAAGGTGCTGTCGAAGAGAAATCGCGTTACCATCAAGGGCTTTTTCAGATGGTGATCATTTCCTTTATTCTCGTAACCTTAATGCTTGATTCATGGGTGATGTTGTGAGGAGAAATTGGATGCTGGTCACTCTTAAGGATCAAAGGGTTACAGAGAATTTCCCCTTTTGCCGTATAATGCTCTTTTCAATTCCCCTGGAGCATTTAGTGGCTTGTCATCTCGATTCCCCAAACCTTGTTACCAAAGTCCTCTCTCTTCTAGATCAAAGGGAAGCTTGGGAGCAAACGTTGCGATTTTCTTATCAAAGTTAAATCTTTTTTCAAAGGCAAACTGGTTGGTAGAATGCCTTGTAATGAAAGAGAAGAGTTTCGCCTTTTGGTGACGTAATGAAAATGAAGCGAGAAAGAAATTAGTGAGCCAGTTATCTAAATTGAAGAGGAAAACAGAACTCGATGGAAATTAGTAATACGAGAAAGACTGGGAAAAATCGCACATAACAGACCAGAAACTTTTCTGATGCAGACAAGATGTTTTTATGCTGTTCCAGGAAAGAAGAAAATTCAATAATTGGAATAAGAATACTAACTCGGGGAGGGGGGGGGGGGAGAGTAGGAGAGGATTTCATGCAAACGGTTTAAGTGAGAGAAAAAATAAGAAAACATGTAAATTTGTTCTCAATAAAGCTGAGCTTACCTCGTTTGCTTGGAGCAACCTCTGGAGTTCGTCCTTTATATAGGAACGGTGTTGCTTAAGTAATAATAATAAAAATAAAAACAATAAGTCGTTACGCCTCTTTTCCTTTGCTCATGAGGCAAGACAAAATAAGTTCCAGTTCATTCAAGAAACCCCATAGACATCTATTGGACGCTGATTTGCGATTTCGGACGCTATCGTACGACTGCGTTCTCAAACGTTTAGTCCGTTTTCAGAAACTTAGTCCCGATTTCTGAGGCTTTTGCCGCATTAAAACACTTCTACCTAATTTCAGACACGACAAATTAGACAGATATTGGACGTCCGATTTCAGGGGCCATCGTCCTATTTTACGCACTTGTGTCGGATCTCAGACGGTTTCTTCCGATTTTGAAAAGCCCAACTTCTTCAAAAGGAAATTGAGCGAATAAGCAAAGAGAAGATTAATGAAAAAACCACCGGGAAAAGATGAAACAAGGTAAAAATCGCCTGATTGGCGAAAGAACTTCTGGTGTTAACTGGAGACCATCCATTGATTTCGAAAGGTTCTTTCCAATTTAGGACACCTATGTTCCATTTCGGGCGGTTTAGCCCGATTTCGGATTTAAGGGGAACAACTGTCCACAATTCATTACGATGACTTACTTGCTCTCTGCTTCTGTATTTCCAGTAAAACCATCTCTCAGCCCTTCCAGGACCAAGCAAGTCATACATTTCCTTAGACGCTGAAATGATCAAGAAAAGTTTTTTTACAGACTGTCTCAAAAGATGATCACTATCACGGATCACCTCGGTTTCCATAATATAAAGGGACTACAACTACTACTACGGTACTCCTCCGTGACAAAGAACTACTTCTCACAAGTAACCTACTTGCTTCCCCCGAGGCAAACAGTTCTTTCTCCTGTTTCCTTCACACAAGACGAGACGCGCACGAGGGGGGAAACGCGCGCGTCTCTCGTCCTCAACATTCTTAAAAAAAGTTGAGATAACGTCTATTCTGCCGGCTCGAAGGTGATAGAAACCATTTGTAGCCGGCAAGCTTAATCCTGCTTAAGATAGGTAGTCAAACATTATCACCACTGTGAAGAGAAAAACAAAGTATCCGTGCTTGTTTTGATACCTTTGTCTAATTCTTCTTGCAAAGTTCCTTCCATGAATTTCACTGCAGAGTCCCATTGTTGTTTCTCACTCACAGACCAGTCTTCAAGTGCTGTCAGCTGAATTACTCGCTGAAAGGAACACAAGGGCTACATATTAACACAGAAGCAGTTTCCATTTACTTGCAGTTGTAAAGCAATTTGTATTGGGTTTGTTTTAAACGCTCTGCTATTAGTCTTGAAAACTCGCCTTAACGTATTAACCAATCAGATGCAGCTCGGTAATTCGCGTTAATACAACTAATTTGTTTGTAATACATAGATTTAGCCAAGCCTAAAAGCGGAGCTCGCATTTTTTTTTCCCGCACGTCTCAAGGGCACAACGCCTTCTCCCGGCCAGGACTAGAACCCGGGTCGTCCGACTCGAAGCCTAGTGCACTGACCACTGGACTACTGAACAAAGCCGTGGCGTTGGCGTGCCCGCGGTACAGTTGACCACGCATGTTAAAAGTAGCACGGTCGTACGTCCAAATTTATCGGCTTTATGGGTTACTACTATTTTGTATAATTATGGGGCTACGCTCTGCGAGCTCTGCTATAAGCTTCACAACTCACCAGACTATCCACGGCTTTTGACTGCCACACATGGCTTCTTTTGCATTCATCTGATAGTTCAGATTTGAGTTTCTCGAATAAGTGGCTATGCCCGTCTTTATCATTCTTCTGTTCCTGTAAACAATACACAGCTTGCACAATTTAAAACAGGGAACGAAAGCATGCTTCAAAAGTCGATAGGAAAAAAAAATTAATTTACCTGCATTGCTTTGGAGAATTCTTCGAAGAGTGTTTCCCAACCAACCTACCAGTGACAATCAAAAGTTTCCGATGACACAAATACTTAGAGACAAAACGTCACAATTATAGGATTTCTTCTAAAAGTTTCAAATTCATAAATTTAAATCCAGGTCAATCTTTTCAATATTTGTCCATCAGATGTTCCTTTTTAGTTCATTTTACCTCTGAAGTGTTTCTCGATCACAACAAGCTATTATTTTTATCTTAATTTACAATTTTTCGGGTTAAAAAACCTTTAAAAATGGCGTGGTGTGTCCTTCAAATTTGAAGTCCACATAAGCACTTCGTACATTTTTCTGTCTGTCACTGTAACTCTAAGCGGATGCTGTCATTTTTATCAACATTTTTACAATGTTGGAAATTCTGAAATATTTTCATTTTGTTGATAGGGCACTGCCTTATTGCTCCTTTCCCCCTTGAGAAGCCAAACGCAATTCTCCCCACTGCCGATTGCACAATTTTTATCATGTTAGTTCTGAGAATCTAGTGTTAAATCAATTCAATTTCAAGAGCTAATTTTGTATTTCATCTCATCAACTGTTTGGTTGATAATGTACCGATATTGTAAGGAGAAATTACTTTTTGGTCACTTTTAAGAGTAACAGGATTAACCCTGTAATTCCAATGAGTGACCAACATGGAATTTCTCCTCACAACATCAATATATAACCAAGCAGACAAGTGGGGAGAATATAAAAGAAAATCTCAATTAGGGGATTATTAGTTGATCCCATACCATATTCTCCAAACTAACATCAGAAGAATTACATGCAAAGCAGTGAGGAGAATTACTGATGAGATCTCGAGAGTGAAAAGATTAACAGATTGTGTATACCTTGACAGAAATATCAGGCAGTGTCCTGTCGGCCCACTGTTTCAGCTTGATGTCAACAGACGTGTTAAAATTGCTTGGATTATCCGCCTGTGCAGCAGGCAAGTAGATGGCTTCTATGAAGTGAGAAGACACTGCTGACCACAAGTGTTTGGTGATGATGTCCTCCCACATCTGTGGCGTAATCTCACTTAGGGTAAGCACTTCATCCAGGATTTCGTTACGAGCTTTATCGAACAGCTCATTCTATAGAAAACAAGATTTTTGAGGGCGACGTTCAATTAGAGATAGTTTAAAGGGTCCTAATTATTTCGGAGCTTGGAGAAGACGCGACTTGCACGCGACGGGAAGGGACGGAATTTCTACTGCATACGACATACCGACAAAATTATGGCGCCAAAGTATTACTGTAACGCTATGTTTTAATCCTGATTGGTTGGAATTGTTCGGTAAGATTTTCGGTTACATCCGACGATTTGCCAAAATCAATCAATTCTTTTGTAGAGTGTCTCCATGCCGCGGGTTTATTTTACACCAGATGCAGCCCTTTTGTATAAGCAAACCTGTAGTATACATGGAACACGCTACACAAAACTAATTTTCAATACCAAAACTTACCCTGTCCAACTCTCTCAGCTTCGGAAAACAGTTTTTCCATTCCGTTTCAAGATTGAACCGTTTCGCTGAAAGAAACCAAAAACACACAATTATTTTCCATTTCTTCTCTTCAGTGACTGAAATACGACAAAGACAAAGGACAGGGAAGGAAAAAGAGAACTTTCCGGCCCTCATTCTACTCACGGCTCCGCTGTTCCTGTTTTCACTCCCATTAACAAATATCGAAAAGGCCCAGTACAATTCGCAATATTGGAACTTAACCATTCGACCTCTAAGAGTGACTAGCATCTAATTTCTCCTTACAATATCACCCTTGAATCACATATTGAGGTCACGAGAATAAAAGGAAATGATCACCAACTAAAGTAGCTCTTGATTGTTCAACAAATTCTCCTTGTCAGCACCTTAGGAAATGTATAAAGAACACTATGGAGAATATGCATACTGATGTTTGGGTGTAAAGGGTTCATACCTTTGTATGAATCTGCCTGCTGCTCAATCGATTCTCGCACCATTTTCCAGAAGCAGTGTGAAACAGCAAAGCTTAGGTTTTGCGTCGTCATTTGACTGGCTTTGAAAACTCCAGACCTTTATAATAAGACAAAAAAAATTGAAAAATGACCACGAAATATTTAAAAAACAAAATTTGCGAAGCAATTAGTGCAAATAGTAGACAACATTTATAACAGGAGATAATAGTCGATTATTGCACATCAAGGATATTTTTGGAGGCTCACTGTTATTATTGTTAATAACCTTCCAGCGGAAGCAATGAAAATTGATCATTTCGTCGTGACGCACGCATTTTAAATTCGCTAGGAATCCAATCTTTTTTTTTCCCATTACACGCAGTTTTGTGTCAGTGCACGCATTTAATGACTTCTATTTGACTGATTTTGAGTAATTAACACATTCACCCCTGATGAAGGCACTAGACAGGAGTGTCGAAACGTTGGGTCTATGAATTGTAACTTCTTCGGTTACATTCATTAAATCTGCAAACCAGTGTAGCATCAAACTATGTCTGATTGTCCACCTGGTTGCCGTGTGAACTTTAATATATTTTAATTAACACGTGTTTTATACTCTCTTACGAGCATTTGTTATCACACGCAGGTGCATGTCGTGGCGTGCGATGTGCGTATTTCCCGCGTCTAGTGCGAGGAAATTACACGCGCGTCAAACGCGTGCAATGCTGCTGTACACGAGAGCGGTACTTTATATTTACTTCTTTGCTTCTTACGCGCTCACAACATTGACACTTACTTGCAAAGTCTAGAGTGTCTGAAGAATTCTTCTTCATAGCCACGAATGGCGTCAATCCCCTCACTGGTATTACCTGAAAGTGCATTAAATACAGCCAAAATTAGAACAGCCAACGAGCAGTTATTTTTTTAGCATTTCCCTATCGTTGAAGCGATTAAACGACTATCTTATTAACTCAAAGCATCTTGATTGCCTGAAATATTTTCACTCACCTGTTCCAGTCACAACTGCAAAGTAACCCAAAGCTTTCATTGGGAAAAGCTTGCCTTCCAGTATTTGTTTAATCTAATGATGAAATAACAGCATCAGTTAGTGATTCAAAATGGACTGAGTTCGGAGAAAATTGAAAAATTTCACCAAATGTCAACCATTCATACCCGGCTGGGGTTGGCATCGTTCTGCTCTGCTAAGTCTACTTTTGTCAGCACAAAGATTGTCCTTTTCCCTGTAGAAGTACAGAAAATCGCATTTTGTAACACAGAGTAACTGGCTGAAAAAAAAAACTGCTCCCACAATTGTAATTCATCTACCAGCGTTTTTTTCCTTTGCTCATATGAGAACAACTTTGACTTGCTTTTAACCTTCCAACGCCCAGAAGTGATTAACAAGTAACTTCTCCCTAAAATATCCATACACTATCCAGTAAACAAGTGGTGAGATTATTCAAACATTTTAGAAGTTGTTATCTGGATCTGACAGCAAATTCTTATAACTAATTTACAAGAAACTGTGTGGCAGCTAAAAGGGAGAATTTAAAATCAGATCTCTGGACTTTAAGAGTTTCAAGTATATTAGTGAATTACCACTGTTTTTTCTACATACCTGCTGGATCCATGCTGCTCACTAAATCAGTGACATTACTCCTTTCAGCATCAATAGAGCCATCTGTTTGACACACAAACATTACATTTCACAGTATTCTAGAAGCACTGTCATTAACTTACAAAAACTTTGACCAAGACAAAAGACAACTCAAGTCAAAATTCTGTTTTCTAAATATCAGCTACCTTTTACCAAATGTAAGCTACTTCTCACCTTGAATACACAAGATTATTGCATTTGGGTTCTGCATGTACTTCCTGAAATTATTCAAAGAGGATGTTTAAATCCATAGCCCTCGAATGTAATTCTTGAAGTTATCACTTCTCACAAATTAGCAATTGGTTCATACGTCAGCGTGCTTTCATCGAGATATGAAGCACACGGGAAGTTTGGAGAGCACGAACGATGCATAAGAGTTGCTCGAGGCATAGCCAGGAGCAACTCTAGCTTCTTGAGTGCTCTCCAAACTTCCCAAATGCTTCATATCTCGATGAACGCACAGCTGACATATGAACCAATTGTTTTATAACATTTTCAACCTCATGGAAATTCTTTTTTTGGGGGGATTTGTTTGCTGACGTCATGAGCGTGCACAATAGGAATATGAAGCACGCTCATGCAATTGAATTTGATTAGACAAATTTACTAGCTATGTTATAATTATAATTGCTTTGATTATAACACAAAACCATGTCACATTAAATTTTGTAGAAGCTTAAATGTAAAATCACAAATTATTAAAATCACAGAAAAATTAACTTCAAAGTTTCTCAACCCTATAACTCCCAAGATCTCATTGGTAATTCTCCTTACTGTCTACCAAATAATCTTCATTATCTTAGTTTGGAGAATTTGGTATCAGATCACTTAGTAATCTGTTAATTGCTATTTTCTTTCTTCTCATCACTTGTCTGCATGTTAGATATAGTGAGGAGAAATTCTGTCCTGGTCACTAATGGGAGTTAAAGGGTGAACGACATCCAACCTGCTCATTTCAACAATGTCATCCTTTGTGTTTTCTGCCATTCCAGCTGTGATTGTCTGAAAAATAAAATAGTATCTTCTCTTCACTCTTGCCATTTAATTACACAAAATGAAAATAAAGAAAGAAAAAAAATTTGTTCCTTGTGGCCTAACATCTTTTCAGGCAAAATTAACCATAGCAGTAGTAATGAATCCATTAAAACACACCCCAATAATTCCTGGAAGGTCAACCAGCACCATGCGATGAAGTCCTGGGCCTTTCACACTCAGGGATATCACCTAAAATAAACATCGACATAAAAATACAAAACCATTAACTAAAATCAGAGGTTCATCATAAAATAAACAATGATTGTTAAAAAATATTACTTACCTCAGGACTAACTGTCTGTCCATGTTGAACACTGTTTCGCATTCGCATTTCGATTTCCTGCCTCAGAGCTTTGAGCTGCAAGATTCAAACTATGCTATAATTAAGAGGTATCGCAGAGGTCATGGGTTCAAATCCCGTACGGGCCTGAAATTTTTTTCAGGTCCTACTTACAACTACTCGTTTCAGTAGTGTTCTTAGCTGCGAGGATCTTCTAATTTCAACAGGTCCTATTTCATTAACATTTATCACCTAGTATTAAGTGAGAGCACAAGATTGGGTGGAGCTAATTATCGCAAATCAAAATATTCATTCTTCTTTGTCAACAGTAACTAACCTCATTTTCCTGTGTGAGGTCATATTGATGAGTACTTCCCTTGAACTGTGCCATGTGATTAGGTCCCTCACTCAAGGTCACCTAAAGTAATACAAAACACAATAACTGATGAGTTGGTCATAGTTATTTTAAGAGCAAAAAAAAATTCACTCATCATAAATGAACGTACTCCATCATACATGTACATATGCTGATTTGTCACAACACTTGTCACAAAATTTTGTCCTGAGTAGTACCACTCATTTATTAAAATAAATATATTTTTGATAGATAAGCTTATCACATCCTACAAAGCCCAGTTGTACAAAGGGTAGATAATACTATCCAATGGATAAAACAATTATCAGGGACAAGTGTTAACAAAATATAATGGGATATCTATCTGATAAAGATTCATCCTGTATAAAGCATTATCCAACCTTTGAACAGCAGTAAAGGTTGAACTGGAAAACCCTCAAAATAAATAGGATGTTCTGTAGCTATTCTGAAGCAGTTGACCCATTCTTACCATGACTGGTGACCTTGTCATCATCTGACCAGAACCTCTGTAACAGAATTCAAAATGAGGACAATTACCATCACAACCTGTTAGAATCAGTACCAAACCCTTTTGACTAAAATATTGCAATGATCATACATAAAGTTGTACTTAAAGCACATGTACAGTGAAAAGAAAGTTACTGAATGATTAAAAGGAAGCTATTACCATTTTACAATACTGTGCATAAAAGATGTAACTAACCTAGGAAAAATCCTAGCTTGGGCAATCATTTCTAAGACACTTGTTTTGCCTGCACTTTGATCACCAACCACTACCACCTGAAAACCATCATAACAAAAGAACAATGACCTTGGACATGTGTAGTTTCCACTCCACCACCCCCTCCCCTCTCCTTCCTTTTGACTGTCACTCACCCCCTTAGAACAAATTCCTTTCCCTTCCCAGCCTGTTGCTGCAGTAAAAATAAAATATGGCAGCAATAATTTTCACCAGGTAACACTTAGCACTAGCTCGCCAAAACTACAACTGCTCTGCAGGTTAATGAATAAATAGTAAGAGGAATCTTTCACAACTTGAGAAAGTCGTTTCAAAGGTATATCACAGATTGTGACTCACCCTTGGAAGATGGTCTGTGGTGTTATAGCTCACATCATACTCTGACAGCAAGTCCAGAACATCAGAATACATGTCAATCAAAGATTTCTGACAGAAAGAAAGTGACACAGAAAATAAATAGAACTCTCTCAATAGTCCTGACCCCCACACAGTGTTCAATGGAAGGTGCATAACACACAACTTTAATAATATCTCACACAACAAAATTATTCTTATAACTATTAATTAACCTGAGCTTTCACTCCCAAGATATTGTTTATTTAGCAATTCATCTGTCTCTCGGCCATACAATCAACTAATCATCCCCTTGCTGATATTTTTGTATATTCTCATCACTTGTCTGCTTGATATTGTATTGATATTAAGAGGAGAAATTCTGTGTATGGTCACTCATGGAAGTTGAAGGGTTGAAGGACTTTTTTTTCAATTTCACTTGAAACCTTTAGTTTGACATGGAGGATTTTCACTTTTTGTTAACCTTTACCAAAAATAGAAAAGGAAATATCTAAACTTACCCTTATCTTTCTGGGGGTTGGCATGCTGTCACCCTTCAGAATGATAACTTGTTTTCGCAACTCTCTATTATCTCGTTCAAGCTTTTCGATCTCTCGTTGATATCTTTGCTGTGGAGAAATTAAACATTTATTTCAATTAAACTTCTTTTAAGTTATTAGGTAGGAAGAGTACCTCACAGGTACCAGTACACCCATTAAAACACCCTTAAATCCCTCTGCTTAGGGCAATCAAGCTTGGTCTGTTAATCAAAGTTGTATTGTGAACATTGAGAAATTTGTAATGATGCTTTGTTTGCAGATTCAGTCTTAGTCTGTTTGATATAGAGGTATAGGTAGGTTAAGTCTGTGCCAGAGCTTAGGTGCCCTGATTTCTGTAACATAAAGTGACTGGGAGTATTACTGTTCCTCCTGAATGGTAATTGCCAGTGAAGTCAATCATGGGTTACCCTCAGGCATTTCATTGGCTTTCCCTGATAAATCAGCAATACCCATTTAAACTCCTGATCGGAGAGAGGTACAATTGAAGTTAAGGGTCTTGCCCAGGAATACAACACAATAGAGAGTTTAAGATGTGCGTTTGTTTCTGAATGCATGTTACATTTGTTTCTGAATGCGTGTGACTGCAAACTGCCAGGAGTCACTTGTCCAGACTTCAATTGTCACGTTCACCGTTTGCCGTCTACATTTAAACTTCAAGCAAGGCAGTTTCAGGTAGTTGAACTCCCTTGACATTGTTTTTATTCCTGTTCAAGAGTTCTCACATACGTCCTATAAACATATGTGAGGTGAAATCTTTTTATTATAACCAATATGTTTGGGAAGCTTGAAAACCAATCTTTTAGCCATATTTTGTGTTTGAAATGAAGGATCTCCATCCTTTGTGTAATTCAAGATGGCGGTGCACATGTTGATTTTTTTTTCAAGTGAAAGCTGATGTTAATCTAAAAAGCTGAAAGTCTCAAAACTTCTAACTTCTAACCACAAACTGCTGACCGTGGTTTGATGTTTGTGGTGAAAACACCAAACATGGATCTAAAACTCTCTAATGACCCTGGACCTCTTGAACATAGAGTCCAGCCTGTTAAAGGTGCAGCCATCATATCTCTCTTGTTTGATAGGATACAGTGATGAATCAATGTGGTCTAACCTGCATTTCAATAAGTTCTTCTTGAGATTTCTCTAAACGCTCTTGCATCTGAGAAAGCAGAACATACTGTCACTTGAAGAATTGTAGAGTTGTGTCAACATTAAACACCATTACGTACCTTTCACTTGAAATTAATGTAAAAGAATAGTACTTTATTGCTATAAAACTTTAGTTGACCAATAAACTTATTCAAATACCATAATTATTCACCTAATATAGCATCCCAAGCACTTATCAAATTTATGGGCATTAAGAGAGGGTGCTTATTCAAGACTGGGCACCTTTAAAATTTTCACTATTTTTAGCAGATATTCTAATTTCAAATAGCAACAAAAAAATCAATAATGACAAAACAGAAAGATGTAACATAAGCAGTGAATTTTAAGATGGCAAGCCAGTAAAGAAAAAATAATCAATACTCCTCTTAGTTGCCCATTAACTTTTCCCACCTGCAGGGTGTGCACCTATTCAACGTGGGTACATTTTCAAAATGGGTGCTTTTTCAGGGTAGGCATTTATTCAAGGTGGGTGCTTATTCAAGGTTGGGCATTTGATAAAAGGACAACAATGAAATATTACCCAAACTTATCAACAGAACTTTAACAGCAAACCAACACAACACCACCTATTCTGAGATCACTACCTCTCCAGTCATGGATGGAACCACTGCATTTTGACATAAATCCAGTGAATCGTCTCCAACAAGGAATAGAATTTTTAAATAATCACGGACACACTGCTGTAACAGAGGTTGAGTAGTTACCTTTTCCATAGCTGTTTTCTTTGGTGATGATGTCTTTTCACCATTTTCTTGTTTAATAGCAGCAGACACCACTGGAGGGCTGACTTCTGACACAAAGAAAAGACAAAACTTAAAGACAACTCACTTTTTTTACTATAAGGATTTCCTTATATAAGCCTGGTACCTGAACAGTCCTTTTCAAATTATTTCTTTCACTCTTGTACCCAATTTCAAACTGTCATTTCAAGCTACATGTGAGGTACATCACACGGGTACTGATCCACCACAAATAAATTTATAGCCAATGGCTACCAAGATGAACAAAAAACAGCCTTAAACCTTTCATCTCAGTTTCTGAATTGTTATGGCCCAGTCCATAAGATTGGACACAAAAACCAAGACACTAGTACTAAAAAGTTATATTTTTACAGATGGTAAAGTGGACCAACCTACTGACATACACACTTAATTGAGACTCCTTTCAATAAGGCTTTTCAGTCACAATAATTATTACCTCCATTACCATCAATAAATCTGGCTATGCATGTTAGTAGTACAAAATAGTTTCACATGATAAACTATCAGTTATTTTCACATCTTGCAAGTATCACAAATTAGTGCTAAATAACAAACTGTGTCCATTCACACAAAAGGGTATCAACAACTGCGATAATGATGATGATGATGATGATGAGAATGATATTAAACTTGTCACAGCTGCATGCATTATACCTGAAGACCAAAATTCATCCACAAAATCCTTAAAGCTCTCAACAAGGCTGCGAGTGGCATCTGAGCCTAATAGTTAACATAAAAACAAAATAAATGGAAATAATATGAGAACCAAAAAAATGGCACATGGAAGATGAGTGAAACTCTTTGCATGAAAAACTAATTTTTAGAATTTTTAACATATTTACTTCATAATTTTAAATTACCTTCTGAAAATGTATTGGACCAGTCTGGTAGATTTTCTCGCAGATCTTTCAACCAGCTAAATTCAGGTAATGTTTCTTGAAATTTTAGCCACTTGTCCTTCCAGGAATCATATGTCTAAGTTGAAAGAGGACTAGTTATGCTAGCTAAATAAAATTGTTCTCTCAGGATATCCTACTTTCTGAACCTAGTGCAGCTTAACCCTTTAACTCCCAAGATCTGATTGTTAATTCTCCCCTCTAGCTACGACACATTTCCTTGTAAATCAGTTATAAGAATTTAGTGTTAGATCAAAATAACAACTTCTACCTGATAAGTTGGAGTTTTCTCGGTACCTGTTTGCAGGATGATGTATGGATATCAAAGGAGAAGTTCTATGTTAATCACTTCTGGTAGTTAAAGGGTTAAGTGCTCAAAGAACCCCTGATGGATTTAGGAAGCAGGCATTCTAAACCTTTGGGCTTGGATGGAACAATTCAAAATAAAAACAATTCAATAACACTATAATGAAGAAGATCAAAATTCATTGCTAAGAACCAATAACTCACCACTTTTGCAGCAATGCCTCCTGCACCTGCTGTGCCAAGAAGAAGGTACCTTACTCTTGTTACTCGCATCATAGCCCTCAAGATCCCTGTGGTAAACATGCGTTCTCCTTTCAGACCCCTGTTTATAAGAATCCGTGTGGCGACAGGAAACATTCCATAGGGCATTCTGAAAAATGTTTGAATGTTCCTTTGTCTCAAATTTAACAAAGTGTGAATGTGGTTTTTATGATAATTGATACATCTCCCTGAAGCAACATGTTTTGAGAGAAAAATCTCAGCTCTCTCTGTAGCTTTCCTTTTCAAACATTGTTCACAGTGAAGGCTGAAAAAAGAAAAAAAAAAAAAGGATTCAAACTCAAATGAATGTTCATTTAGACTCAGGAGGAGAACAGCAACTTCTCTTTACTGTCAGAACATCACAAGTCACTTGAACAGAAATCAGAGTACCTGTCTCAATTAGTAGTACTACATTTTATATATTATATATTTTTCTTGTTAACTAGAGATAATTGTCTTATTTCATTGTGATACCATTTTAGTGAGCAATAAAAGATTTGTTGCTGTTGTTGTCTCTATCTGTGACTCATTCAGCCCACATTTATAAATAAAACACTTAAATTTAAGGGAAATGCTATATAATAAACATACCAATCTTAAATCATGGGGCAGTATTTTTTGTACTTTATTTAATTAAATAATAAATGTACGCCTCTTATTACCTAAGTGTGGTGAACTTCTGGCCATGTAATTCAAATTTATCAACATTTCGTTCAAATCAACTTCAAACACTTTTGTAATTCTATCGCGTTATGAATAAAGTTATTCAGTATTTCTACAGATATTGACTAATGGTCCATATCGATCAAACATTAAGGGATCGCATGCATAATACAAATCTGTACAAATGTATATGATTTCATGTACGAAGTTAAATCCAAACTAGGGGATCACGAAGGCAACTCCACGTTTTCGACCAACAAAAGAAACAAATCGCCTATTTTTTACAAAAGAGCATCTCATTAAGTTATCATTCGTCAGATCACGAAACGATGTCCCTAATCTAGACCCACCCCACGAAAAATATCAGTTTTAGATTTTATAGGTCAACTTAGCTGGTACTAAACTTGGAGGAATTTACGTAATCAACTGACCTACAAGCGCCGAAGACTCTCAACATCATCAACTTCTGGTTAGTCTTGAAATAAATCTTTGCAGGGAACATACACTGGCATATTGCATCAGCTTGTAGAAGACCTTATTTGTCAAGATATTACACCCAAATCTGCCGCCATGTTTAAAGTGAGAAGTAACAACGAAAGGCATGATGGGAACTGGTGCAAATTGTCACTAGTCTCGCGCGGTTTAATGAACATTTCGAATGTTGCTAGGAAGGAGGAAAGATCACGGGATTATTTATTGTGCAACTTTCCTTGATGCAAGACCTTTGAACACAGGTTTTTTGAACATGGCTACAAGAATAACAACCCCCCTTCTTAAAGATAGCGAAAGGATTTACTCGACAGAGGAAACTGGCGGGCCTCAGGAAACTAGCACAGACTCTCGATTTTTATCTCTAGCAGATCAGCTAGGCGTGCAACCTGATGCACTGAGCCGGTCAAGTTCTGCAGAGAGAGAAAAGGAAAATGACTATGAAAGAGATAGAAGACGTCACAAAGATCCTGTCGTCAATATAAGTTTTGAACAACTCGAAGAATTGCTTACAGCTCTGGATTCCACAAGCGACATGCTTCGGCAAGTTGGTTTAAACTCAGTTGAGTTAGAGAGTTTAACAAGGCAGCGAAGGTGAGGTTTTTACAGTCATTTTCTCCAATCTCTTTTTGTGTTGATGTTTATCGCTGATGTGGATTGCCAGATGCAAACATAAGCTCCTTGATAACCAGCCTGGCAGGACACAAACAAAAGGAACTGATTATTTTCACTCATTCCGGATGTTTTTGTCCGTGAGGTGTTCTCCTTGAGCATTGTGGGGTATCCATTGATAACGATGACGAACACGAAAGCGGCCAATCCCCTGCCAACTATAATTTTGCCTATTGCTCAGAAGGAGCTGTAATGGGTTAAGGTTGCTGGGAGCTTGGGAGGTACAGACATAGTTCCTGTTTATTTTGCCCAGGACAGTTGCAATTGGTTTGGCTTCATTTTCACCCCAGAGGAAATGCGTGAGCGTAATGGTTAGTACGCTAGATTGAGGTTGAGAGGGTTAGGTTCAAAACACTTTACTTTCACAGTGCCTCTCTCCAACCTGGGCTGGGTTGTTTAAAGCTGGGTTATGATATCCCAGGGTTGGTATGAAATCTGATTTCAGATCTGAAAGCTTTAAAAGAAAATTTAAATTAGCTCCATTTGTATATAATTTGATGATTGAATGCTCCAAAAAGAATTGGGAAAATGATCCCAAAACAGCTTATGAACAGAGAAATGTAGAAACCTGGATTTAAATGTGAGCCTGCATTGGTGCCAATCGGCATTTCAAGCAACAGGGCCCAGGAGTGTAAATGGGTACCAATGAGTTGTCAGGGATGTATGATGAATTGGTGGAAGGGGGAGAGGGGGGGGGGGATAACCTTGCAAGTATCCAAATCCAAGGGGAAGTAGTGATATTCCTAGTTGCTTTGTGACAAGGAAACCAAGATAAGCTCTGGCTGGGCAGGCCATTAGGCTTGAGTACAGACTTAACCTTTCTTACCTCTCATTTGCAACACTCTAGAGATATCAACCTTTTGGAATAAAAGACGGGAGGTTTTGGTTACTGCTAAGGCATTACCACAGGTGCTCATGGTGTAAACTCAAGGAGGGTTTGGGGCATACTCCACCTGAAATATTTTGAAAATATTTATTGCCATTTCTTCTCTTTTGAAATCATAGTCAATGGAAAACTGTGTAGGATCACGGTACCTGTAATATTATAAACCACACATTAAAAGTTGAGGCCCATAGTTCTCTTTTGCATTTTCAACAATGGTACCTTCTTTCGAGTGAAATGCAGTAGAAATCTGCAAAGAACTCGTTCAATGAGTAATAAACAGACAGGAATACATATTTTTTTTCACTGTATTCCTGAGAATGGTCACAATGGCTTCGAAAACTAGATAACCTTCTGAATAAATGTAAACCTAGCATTAGACTGTCACTATCCAGTTCATTACTGCATCCTAAAATTCTTGGTCTTATGCTAACTTGCCAAAGAAGCATGACAGGTTTCAAGCCAAAAGAAGGGCTGGAATCTATGCCCCTTTCTCAGGTCCATTGAAAGTTTCAGCAGATACTGGACTCAAATGTGATTTTGAAATGGAGACACGAACCCCTTAACTCCCAAGATCTGATTGATAATTCTCCCTTCAGAAATTGCTACACTTTTCTTTGTAAATTAGTTGGGAGAATTTGGTGTTAGACCAAGAGAACAACTTCTACCTGATAAGTTTGAATATTCTCATTACCTGTTTGGTTGATAATGTATGATTGGATAATAAAGGGAGAAGGACTGTACAATGTTGATCTCTTCTGGGAGTTAAACTGTCAATAAAACATCAGGAAACTAATCAGAATGGACTGGTTTTTTTTAGTATGAAAAGGCACTGGCTTCTATTTGACATGCTTATGAGTGCATTTTATCCTCAACAGGACTTTAAATTTTTACAGTCAGCCTTAGTTTGAAAAATTTTTATTGACCATTGATTTTATTTGCAGAAGTCACAGGATTCCAACATGTGTTACAAGACATCTTTTGCTTGGGACAATATTATGGCAGGTATAAATTTATTAACTCTTTTACTTTTTTTTTTCACTTACTATTGCTTTGTATTTCAATATTATTTGTCCTAAATTGATCAGGCATTCTAATTCATGTTTGACAAGTCTCAATAGTTTTCATTGTGCTCTAGATTCTGAACATAGTGGCTGTTACGATTACTGAAGCTTTTGCAACTCAGTCTGAAGGTGATGAAAAAAAAGAGGGAAAAACTGTATACATTGCGGTAATTTCCAAATCATTTTGTATTTATTGTAACTTTTGCTGTGATGTGTACAATTTAACTCTTCATCTTTTGTTATCTGATTGTTAATTCTCCCCTTTACTTGTGACACAATTAGTCACGAGAATTTGTTGTGAAGGCAAAAACTTTTACCTGATAAGTCTGGGTATTCTCATTACCTGTTTGCTAGGAATTGTATAAATATTATAGGGAGAAGTTACATCTTAATCAGCTCTGGGAGTAAAAGTGTTCAATGTGAATGATAACAAGACTAGATGTGATAAGGCTGTATGGAAAATGTGTTGTCTTTGAATTCTCTTGATTTATTTGTTTGGCAAAAAAACTTGAAGTCAGTTTCTAAAGGTGTTTTAATGGAGATCCTAGTTAAACTTTAAAATTTCTCCAATTTTGCTTTCCTTTCTTACAGAGTGTAAGTGTAATTGTGGTTTTTCAAGCAGCAAATTTGCTCTTGGTTATCTTAACAACAAGTGAGTAAACAGCAGCTCTTCATACTTGTGTACTCCTTAATAATCCTTTAATCCCCTTAAAGTGACCAGCCTCTATTTTCTCCTCACAATGTAACTTTGAATCACACATTTAGGTAATGAGAACCATGAAAATGATCACTGACCAAAGAAGCTCTTGATTATTAACCCTTTACAGCCTAACATCAGTATGCATATTCTCCATTACAAATTTGTTTATTAATCAAGAGCTTGTTTAGTTGGTGATCATTTGTTCTCTTCTCATGACCTCAATGTGTGAATCAGGGATGATATTGTAAAGAGAATTTAGATGCATGTCACATTTAGGAGACAAAGGGATACAAAAATTCTCCTGGTTAGCCCTTAGGAAATGTATAGAGAACAGTATGGAGAATATGCATAATGATGTCAGGGTGTAGAGGGTTAAGCCATTTCACTATTGTACATGACCATCATCATCATCATCATCATCATCATCATCATCATCAGTCTTTTGAGTTCCTTTGGAGGCCTCTTTGGTATTCTACCATCTGAACCACATGAAGTCACACACTGTCTTGTACAATCCTAAACTATTTTATTTTCTCTGTCGCAGTAAAACTCACCAAGCAAATAATGCATCAAACAGTAACAAAATCATTCCTTGCGCAGTCATATTTATCAACAACACTCCTCTACGCTGGGCTTTACACACTGGTCTATAAAATTGAGGTGAGTGGTACAACAGAGTTAGTTAACTCCTTGACCCCTAGGAGTGACCAGCATCTAATTTCTCCTTACAATATCACCCCTGAATCACACATAAATGTCACAGGAACAAAGGAAATGATCACCTTGTAAAGAAACTCTGGATTGTTAAACAAATTCTCCTTGCATCACCATAGGAAAATGTAAAGAGAACAGTTTGGAGAATATGCACACCTGATGCTAGAACATAAAGGACTTGACTTGAGAACTGAAAAAATATTAGTGCTGGTTAAAACTAATGCTAGGGTTCTTTGGTCATGTCAGGAGTGCTGTTGTATTATGCATTAGCTTCACTTTTGTATGATGTATTCCTGAAAACAGCCATTCCATACCCTCTTTCAGTGATTTTTTCAAAATGTTTTGCTATTTAATTAATTTCTTTTGTTTGTTTGTTGTCAGTCCAGTTCATTTCAGCATCTAACAGGTGCTAAAGATCCATTGAGTACACCATTAATATTTTTCAAGATGGCTGTTTTCTCCATTTCAACTGGAACTCTGTGTGGTGAGCTTTTCATCTGGCCCTAGTTGTTCAAAGAAGATTGGATAACACTATCCACTGGATGAATCTTTATGCAGTGGACAACGCTATATACATTTTACAATCACTTACTTGCTGGATAGCAAGTTGTCCATTGGATAGCAGTATTCGTCCTTTATACAACTGAGCCTTGATGAATTTTTCCAACCAAAATTAATTTTTGGTAATCATTCTACAAATCACTGTAGGTTCCAAAATGGCAACTGCAAAAAGGGTTTAACTTTGAACCTTGTTCTTGGTAAGATAGGTAGAGAGGTAAATTCTTTACACTAGCCAAGAGGCCCATCAAGCCAGTAAGGAGAATTACAAGTTTGAACCAGGAGCTAAAGGGTTAAATGGAAACTGCAAAAAGGGTTTAACTTTAAGCTTTGTCCTCCATTAGGATAGGTAGGGAGGTAAATTCTTTATTCCAGCCAAATGGCCCATCAAGCCTGTAAGGAGAATTACGAATTTGATGGGGGAGTTAAAGGGTTAAATGGCAACCGCAAAAAGGGTTTAACTTTGAGCCTTGTCCTCCATTAAGATAGATAGG